ACACACACACCACACACCACACACACACACACACACACAACACACAAAAAATGGGTCGTGAATGCTTTTTTTAGCTGATGTTTTTGCTTTGTTTTGCAGGGAGGCCCCGACCCCATGGTCAGTACAAGCGGGGCCATCGCCGACCGTGGGGGACGAGTACCGTGCTCGCCGCACATGAGGTCATATCCCCCGGGATGGATCGTTTGCCGAGGGAAAAGGTCGGCGCGCTCTCTCCTTGTAAAAATACCCAGATTAGGCCTGGTTTAAAGCCAATATCTTATTGTTGCTTTTTAATGGGGCTGTGTGTCTTTGGGCAGACCTTTTTCTCCCGCTTAACACCCGTGAACCCAGCTGAACACCAGCTTAAAACCCGCACTCAGCTCAAAGGAATCACTACCTTAAGGTGACCTTGCATTTATGTAGTATGGGTGATGGTGTTTATCTTTTTTTACATATGGGAGGGAGAGAGATTTATTGACTTATACAGTAAGCTGGCTTATACACACATTCTGTGCAATGAGATTTTTTGTGAAGGCAATTGAAAAGTACAGTGAAAATTGACTCGCATATATTATAGAGAAATTTTGACGTCCTCTTCAGTTATGCATGTATTTTTTCAATAGCATTTTTTTTTTTTTGCAAATGCAGTTGAAAAAATACACAAATTGACTCTGAAGGCCCTTTCGTGTGCTGTTAGATTTCGTGCGTACTCTTTCAATCTCATTTGCACAAGATGACACTATATAGAGGAGCTGTATAACAGAGCTGACTGTATATAGAGGAGCTGTACAAGAGAGCTGACTGTATATAGAGGAACTTTATAAGAGAGCTGACTGTATCCAGAAATGATCATTTATAAGTTGGTAATGCTTAAAAAAGTGTTATAGTGGGTAGGTTAAGAGTGTGTCAAGGTGAGTGGGAGGCCAATACTGGCGATTATAGTGACACAGGAAGACTACCACTACTACCACAGGCATCACCTGCCGTCCGCCAGTCGCCATCTGCTCTACTAATGTCAAATCTGTTTTCTTTTCCCCTGCGGAGTCTACTACCAGCCGACTCAACTGTCAAGTGTCACCAGGCGCGCTCACCAGCCTCTCGCGCACACACACACACACACACACACACACACACACACACACACACACACACACACACACACACACACACACACACACACACACACACACACTACAATCATTACTTACACATACACTCCTTTCATAGTCTATTGTTTCCTACTTAAAATTGTCACTGTATTGATTTGACCAGTGTCAATTTGACCAGTGTCAATTTGACCAGTGTCAATTTGACCAGTGTCAATTTGTCCAGTGTCAATTAAATTGAACAAATCTCATAGGAGTGGTCTTATTTCAATAAAGTTTAAATACACCAAATATTGTATAGACAACAATAGTTATTCTATATATTGTGTGTATAACAGGGTAATATGTGCACTGTGTGCATATGGTGTCAAGTGTGCGCACTTCAATTGGTCGTGTTATGATTCTGTTTACGTTTGGAAGTGAATTATGTATGTATTCAGTTTTGTTTTTCTTCAAGCATGCAGTATGTCCTCTGTGTTAGTACAATTGACCTGGTGATCATTGGGACCTGGAAGGTCATTACAATCAACCCTAAGGAATGAGATCTCTTAAGGTTGAGACTCAGCACTGTGAGTTTGACCTGGGGTCGTGAGGGGTCACCAGGTCAAACATTAGAGTGGTGTAAGTTCTACATTACTCTGTCTAGTTCTGGTATTGTATGAAGGGAGGGATTTACATATCCAAACATTTTACCTACTTAACCAGTGACTGAGAACCAGCCTCTCCCAAGTCTAGAATTACACTCTGCTTCCCACCTCCAGGACTCAAGTCAGATTAATAAGTTTTCTCTGAATGCCTTCATAGTAGATACAACAATGTGAAAGATACACTGCAGTCACTATTTTAAACCAGAAAAAAATGGTTTCAGTTTTTCCCATTATGCTCTGTGCGCTGCACAGTTTTTTTTTTTTTATATGGTGCACACTTACCACAAAGACCTATTCTCTCATATCTAGTCCCAAATTTACCTACCGCTCACAGTTTATCTGAGAGAGCTGCGCTCATGGCGTAGAATGGGACCAACCAGTTCTTAAAAGCCATAAAACAACGATACCCACCAGAAAGGGTTGACACCCCCTCCCTCCATCCAATCTTGGGATGACCCCTCCTCATTCTAACTTCCACCCCAGATTTATTCACTCTCTTTATCAACCTATCCCTCTCTATCCTCTCTACCTAACCCTCCTCAACTCTGATTGATAACCTTGGTCAACCCACATTCTCTGCATAATATTCATATCACACATTACCCTCAGTCATTACTTCTGTACTGCCATCAACCTCCTCCTTGCTATAATGTTTAGAACCCATGCTTCACACCCATATAATAGTGTTGGTGTCAATATACTCTCATACATTCCACTTTTTGCTGCCTTGGATAACATTCTGTCTGCACAGATGCCTCAACCCATCATCCACCTTTTTCCACTCATCATTTCCATGGATGACCTTGTTTCTCTTAGAATCATCTACTGACATGTTCACTCTCAGATATGTGAAGACAGTCACTTGTTCCCTCCAGTCTCGTATCATTCTCATTGTACCTTTCTTACCACTGTACCAAACTGTCTTCTTCACTGTTCTGCTCCTTCTGCTTAGTCATAGCTGTCTTAACATATTGTATATGTTCAGCCTAGCTTATTTCCTCTTTTATGTGCGTGTGTGTGTGTGCGTGCACGTGTGTGCATGTGTGTGCATGTGTGTGATTGTGCGTGTGTGTGCACGTGAGTTCATGTACTCGCCTAATTGTACTCATCTAATTGTGGTTGCAGGGGTCGAGACTCAGCTCCTGGCCCTGCCTCTTCACTGATCGCTACTAGGTCCTCTCCCTCTCTGCTTCCTAAGCTTTGTCATACCTCTTCTTAAAACTATGTATGGTTCCTGCCTCCACTACTTCACTTGCTAGGCTATTCTACTTCCTGACGACTCTATGACTGAAGAAATACTTCCTAACGTCCCTGTGACTCGTCTGAGTCTTCAGCTTCCGATTGTGACCTCTTGTTTCTGTGTCCCATCTCTGGAACATCCTATCTCTGTCCACCTTGTCTATTCCCCGCAGTATCTTGTATGTCGTTATCATGTCTCCCCTGACCCTTCTGTCCTCCAGTGTCGTCAGTCCAATTTCCCTCAACCTTTCCTTGTACGACATTCCCTTGAGCTCTGGGACTAGCCTTGTTGCAAACCTTTGTACTTTCTCTAACTTCTTGACGTGCTTGACCAGGTGTGGGTTCCAGACTGGTGCTGCATACTCCAGTATGCAGTATGTGTGTGTGTGTGTGTGTGTGTGTGTGTGTGTGTGTGTGTGTGTGTGTGTGTGTGTGTGTGTGTGTGTGTGTGTGTGCATGCGTGCACGTGTGTGCGTGCGTGCGTGCACGTGTGTGCGTGCACGTGTGTGCGTGCGTGCACATGTGTGCATTTGTGCGCATGTGTGCGTGTGTGTGTGCATGTGTGCGCGTGTGCATGTGTGTGTGTGCGTGTATTTGTGTGCGTGTATGTGTGTGCGTGTGCGCGCGTGCGTGTGCGTGTGTGTGTGTGTGAGTGAGTTAGTGATGTAGGACAGTGTGTGCACATAATGTAGCAGTGTACGTACACACATTATATAAATACATCATGTTTATAGTTGTTTAAGGTAGTTAGTAGTTAATATTATTGAAATATTCAACTTTAATTGATATATATAATCCAAGAAATACTTGAAAGAATATTGTAGCTGTAACTCCCTCAGTAACTCATTGTAAGAGTAAGTCAGTGTAACAGTAACTTGTGTATGAAGCATAGTTCAGTACCTGCTGAGTTGGGTTAACTGAACTGGACAAGACCACTGGACATTACCACTTTAACCATGAATGATAGCTGACCAGTGGTTGGTCAGTACAATGTCAACATTGTTGATGTAGCACGGTGACCACAGAGTACGACTTCTAGGACTGACTTCTTACCAGCAGTCAGTATTGCTGTGTTGCTAGACCTCACCATGATTCAATGACTAACATAATGCCAGCATTGCTATGCTAACATGAAGGTTACTGAGGGGGTTCACTCTCTAGATAAAACACTAGAAAACTAATAGAAACTATAAACATATAGAGGCTGGCAGGTAACAATGCAGCGAAGATTTCGGCGGAGGTAAAGAGAAGCCCCGGAAGCAAGACGTGGGGAAAGGGCTCTTGATCCATGCAGTGTTGTGTGCGTGTGTCTCGTATGAAAGTTACTACAGAAAGCCACTAATCACAGAGATTATTTCTAGGGTTACTTCCTCCTTGACATAAGGGTCCGGCAGCTAGAGTATTCGTCGAGACTACCACGTACGTATGACATCCATGCCCTGGCTCCATGTCCTTAATTCATAACTTTCACCAATTCTGAGTGTTATATTGTGGCATATAGTGATGTTAATAGCAGAGTTTGTTTATATTAACTTAATCAACACCATCATTCTGACTCATGATAAACCTGCGTTGTAATGAATGACAGTTAATGAGTAGACGGGTGAGTGGACGGTGACTGGGACCGTGGGTGGACTGTGTGCAAGGACTGTGGTCCCAGTCCTGATCTAAGAATTTAGAAAGACTGGAACCACCGACCTCGTAAGACAACAACCAGAGTCCCAGGAGCTGTCCAGTCTTCTGTCCGGTCATTATTGACATTATTATTCATTAACCTTCACTGTTTCTACACTTTTTTTTTTTTCATTGTGATTTTTTTCACTACAAAAACATGGACCCAGATGCATACTTTTACAATATTAAGTCCACTAGAATTGATTGCATTAATTTGTGAATTAATTTTGAAAACTAGGCATGTTTGTTCTTAACCCCCTCTGACAGTTTCAAGCTGGTTTTAAATTGGTTTCAAGCTGGTTTCGAACAGGTTTCAAAGTTGTAAAGGAACATAAGTCGGAAGTTAGCAAATTATTAACTGGTCTCCTCAACAAGTCAGTGTAAACGAGTATCATACTGGGTAGCTGGAAGATGACAAGGTGGGAGACTCCTGTTTACAAGGTGGGAAATAAGTCCATGGCTTCAAGAGACAGACCAATTGACCTAATGTCAATTGTGGGAAAATTACCAGAATCGATAATTGGTGATGCAGCTCAAAAGTCAGCTTCATAGATGCAGTTTGATCAGTGGCTCTCATGACAGTTTTATGGAGGAGCGTTGGAGCCTTACAGAGGCCAGAGACCAAGATACACAACACAGTATTGTGGTTATGGACTTAGTAAGGCTTTTGGTAGAGTTCCACAGCAGAGATTGTTGAGGAAAGTGGAGGCACACAGAATTGGGGACATCTATTCCTGGATAGAGGCATGGTTGACAGATAAGCAACAGAGTTTGCATAAATGTTGATAAATCAGAGAGGGTGCGCATCACAAGTGGTGTTCCACATTGGCCATTATTGGGCCCTTTGTTCTTCGCAATATACATAAACCACACACACAAAAAAAAAATATGAACAAGTTTGCCGACGACACCAAAATGGGCCTTCTGGTTAGTTCCAACGAGGACACTAGTGCAATGCAAGGAGATCCGAATAGACTGATGCAGTGGTTGGGGAAGTGGTAGATGCGGTTTAATGTCTACCCTGTGAAGATAGACTGAGGGCACTGTCTATCCTACAAGGGTAGACTGAAAGTGCTGAATTTTCATTTTAGAGGTGTAGACTTAAGGGAAATAAGATAGAGGTGTATAAAGGAAAAACAGTAGTAAACAGATGGAAAACAGGAGTACACAGAAGGATAAGCAATAGATGGGGGGGAAACAGGAATAAATGAGTTAAATTTTTTTTTATTTTTATTATCACACTGGCCGATTCCCACCAAGGCAGGGTGGCCCGAAAAAGAAAAACTTTCACCATCATTCACTCCATCACTGTCTTGCCAGAAGGGTGCTTTACACTACAGTTTTTAAACTGCAACATTAACACCCCTCCTTCAGAGTGCAGGCACTGTACTTCCCATCTCCAGGACTCAAGTCCGGCCTGCCGGTTTCCCTGAATCCCTTCATAAATGTTACTTTGCTCACACTCCAACAGCACGTCAAGTATTAAAAACCATTTGTCTCCATTCACTCCTATCAAACACGCTCACGCATGCCTGCTGGAAGTCCAAGCCCCTCGCACACAAAACCTCCTTTACCCCCTCCCTCCAACCCTTCCTAGGCCGACCCCTACCCCGCCTTCCTTCCACTACAGACTGATACACTCTTGAAGTTATTCTGTTTCGCTCCATTCTCTCTACATGTCCGAACCACCTCAACAACCCTTCCTCAGCCCTCTGGACAACAGTTTTGGTAATCCCGCACCTCCTCCTAACTTCCAAACTACGAATTCTCTGCATTATATTCACACCACACATTGCCCTCAGACATGACATCTCCACTGCCTCCAGCCTTCTCCTCGCTGCAACATTCATCACCCATGCTTCACACCCATATAAGAGCGTTGGTAAAACTATACTCTCATACATTCCCCTCTTTGCCTCCAAGGACAAAGTTCTCTGTCTCCACAGACTCCTAAGTGCACCACTCACTCTTTTTCCCTCATCAATTCTATGATTCACCTCATCTTTCATAGACCCATCCGCTGACACGTCCACTCCCAAATATCTGAATACGTTCACCTCCTCCATACTCTCTCCCTCCAATCTGATATTCAATCTTTCATCACCTAATCTTTTTGTTATCCTCATAACCTTACTCTTTCCTGTATTCACCTTTAATTTTCTTCTTTTGCACACCCTACCAAATTCATCCACCAATCTCTGCAGCTTCTCTTCAGAATCTCCCAAGAGCACAGTGTCATCAGCAAAGAGCAGCTGTGACAACTCCCACCCTGTGTGTGATTCTTTATCTTTTAACTCCACGCCTCTTGCCAAGACCCTCGCATTTACTTCTCTTACAACCCCATCTATAAATATATTAAACAACCACGGTGACATCACACATCCTTGTCTAAGGCCTACTTTTACTGGGAAAAAATTTCCCTCTTTTCTACATACTCTAACTTGAGCCTCACTATCCTCGTAAAAACTCTTCACTGCTTTCAGTAACCTACCTCCTACACCATACACTTGCAACATCTGCCACATTGCCCCCCTATCCACCCTGTCATACGCCTTTTCCAAATCCATAAATGCCACAAAGACCTCTTTAGCCTTATCTAAATACTGTTCACTTATATGTTTCACTGTAAACACCTGGTCCACACACCCCTACCTTTCCTAAAGCCTCCTTGTTCATCTGCTATCCTATTCTCCGTCTTACTCTTAATTCTTTCAATTATAACTCTACCATACACTTTACCAGGTACACTCAACAGACTTATCCCCCTATAATTTTTGCACTCTCTTTTATCCCCTTTGCCTTTATACAAAGGAACTATGCATGCTCTCTGCCAATCCCTAGGTACCTTACCCTCTTCCATACATTTATTAAATAATTGCACCAACCACTCCAAAACTATATCCCCACCTGCTTTTAACATTTCTATCTTTATCCCATCAATCCCGGCTGCCTTACCCCCTTTCATTTTACCTACTGCCTCACGAACTTCCCCCACACTCACAACTGGCTCTTCCTCACTCCTACAAGATGTTATTCCTCCTTGCCTATACACGAAATCACAGCTTCCCTATCTTCATCAACATTTAACAATTCCTCAAAATATTCCCTCCATCTTCCCAATACCTCTAACTCTCCATTTAATAACTCTCCTCTCCTATTTTTAACTGACAAATCCATTTGTTCTCTAGGCTTCCTTAACTTGTTAATCTCACTCCAAAACTTTTTCTTATTTTCAACAAAATTTGTTGATAACAGCTCACCCACTCTCTCATTTGCTCTCTTTTTACATTGCTTCACCACTCTCTTAACCTCTCTCTTTTTCTCCATATACTCTTCCCTCCTTGCATCACTTCTACTTTGTAAAAACTTCTCATATGCTAACTTTTCTCCCTTACTACTCTCTTTACATCATCATTCCACCAATCGCTCCTCTTCCCTCCTGCACCCACTTTCCTGTACCACAAACTTCTGCTGAACACTCTAACACTACATTTTTAAACCTACCCCATTCCTCTTCGACCCCATTGTCTATGCTCTCATTAGCCCATCTATCCTCCAATAGCTGTTTATATCTTACCCTAACTGCCTCCTCTTTTAGTTTATAAACCTTCACCTCTCTCTTCCCTGATGCTTCTATTCTCCTTGTATCCCATCTACCTTTTACTCTCAGTGTAGCTACAACTAGAAAGTGATCTGATATATCTGTGGCCCCTCGATAAACATGTACATCCTGAAGTCTACTCAACAGTCTTTTATCTACTAATACATAATCCAACAAACTACTGTCATTTCGCCCTACATCATATCGTGTATACTTATTTATCCTCTTTTTCTTAAAATATGTATTACCTATAACTAAACCCCTTTCTATACAAAGTTCAATCAAAGGGCTCCCATTATCATTTACACCTGGCACCCCAAACTTACCTACCACACCCTCTCTAAAAGTTTCTCCTACTTTAGCATTCAGGTCCCCTACCACAATTACTCTCTCACTTGGTTCAAAGGCTCCTATACATTCACTTAACATCTCCCAAAATCTCTCTCTCTCCTCTGCATTCCTCTCTTCTCCAGGTGCATACACGCTTATTATGACCCACTTCTCGCATCCAACCTTTACTTTAATCCACATAATTCTCGAATTTACACATTCATATTCTCTTTTCTCCTTCCATAACTGATCATTTAACATTACTGCTACCCCTTCCTTTGCTCTAACTCTCTCAGATACTCCAGATTTAATCCCATTTATTTCCCCCCACTGAAACTCTCCTACCCCCTTCAGCTTTGTTTCGCTTAGAGCCAGGACATCCAACTTCTTTTCATTCATAACATCAGCAATCATCTGTTTCTTGTCATCCGCACTACATCCACGCACATTTAAACAACCCAGTTAAAACAGGAATAAAATAGACATGAACAAAGTGTCACACACATCTCAATCATGCCAGGACTCACAGTAGTCATTCCAAGCTTTGACAGCCTTAGATTTAGAAACCCACTAGAAGAAACACTTCCACCATCACTCAGTTAGTAATTATCCAGACGCTCAGGGGGTTAGAGCAAACACTGTCAGTAACTCTCACAGTGTCCAGTAATAACGTCGAACAGTCTCTTGTTTTCTTTGATAATTGAGAGTAAACAATCTTACTGGTTCAGTTATAGGAGAGTTGAGTTATTAATATTAAGCATCAGTGTTATATATAAGCAATGACTGGTGGTAATGTAGAGGATGTGTGTGTATTTACAGGAGGGAAGACGCCAGACATGAATGCCAGAACCTACGCCCATATTATGCAAGAAGCACGACTCAGAGGTGAAGAAGCGCTGGTGAGTAGTAATAACAATAATAGTAGTAGTAGTAGTATACAAACGAGTGTAGAGTTTTATCAAGTCATGTTACAATTGTACACAGATCGGTGTAGAGCTGGTTCATCAACTGGGGCTGGGTCTTCACTAATTTGCCGTACATCATTTGTGCCATAAATGTTATTGTTGTTTTCAGATCCGGAAGACAATGCAAGAACGCGTCAAGGAAGGAACGTTGCAGGTGGTTGCCACCAATGGTGAAGCCCCGAAGGCAGCCCCTAGGAAACGTGGGCGTTGGGACCAGACGGCCGATGACACACCGCAGCCAAAGAAGAAATCAACTTGGGAAGCCGAGACACCATCTATTGCTCGCTGGGACGAGACTCCAGGCCGAGCCAAGGGCAGTGAGACACCTGGAGCAACACCCGGGCAGAGTACCCGCATGTGGGATGCTACGCCTGGGCACGCTACCCCGGGGCATGAGACACCCGGGCACGATAAGCTCACGCCCTCGGCTCGCCGCAATCGTTGGGATGAGACGCCAAAAACGGACCGTGGGGAAACGCCAGGTCATAACAGTGGATGGGCCGAAACACCTCGCACCGACCGTGGTGCCGGTGACCTGATCCAAGAGACCCCAACCCCAAGCGCCAGCAAGCGACGCTCCAGGTGGGACGAGACACCTGCTGCACAGACCCCAGTTGCCACACCCTCAGGGGCTTTGACACCTTCTACCCCCCACACTCCCAGCATGACCCCAGGAATGATGACCCCAGGGGGTATTACCCCAGGAGGAACGACACCCGTGGGACCAAAGGCTATTGGCATGGCAACGCCATCACCCGGACAGCTGGTGAACATGACACCAGAGCAGATCCATGCCTTCCGCTGGGAAAGAGAGATTGATGAACGAAATCGCCCCATGACAGACGAGGAACTTGACTCCCTGTTTCCCCCGGGGTATGAGATCCTGCCGCCCCCGCAGGGATATGTGCCCATCAGGACACCGGCCAGGAAGCTTACAGCAACACCTACGCCAATGATGGGTACGCCACAAGGGTTCTTCATGCAGAAAGAAGGTATGACGCCCAAACACGAGGACTCGCAACCGAAGGGCAATCTGCCGCTGCTGAAACCTGAAGACGCTCAGTATTTTGACAAGCTTCTTCAAGACGTTGATGAGGAGAGTCTGAGTCCGGAGGAACAGAAAGAACGCAAGATCATGAAGCTGTTGCTGAAGATCAAGAACGGGACTCCCCCCATGCGCAAAGCTGCACTCCGTCAGATTACAGATAAGGCTCGGAATTTGGCGCCGGTCCTCTGTTCAACCAGATCTTACCACTGCTCATGTCTCCTACGCTAGAAGACCAGGAGCGCCATCTTCTGGTTAAAGTCATCGACAGAGTTCTCTACAAGTTGGACGATCTTGTTCGTCCTTACGTTCACAAGATCCTTGTGGTTATTGAGCCTCTGCTTATTGATGAAGATTACTATGCTCGTGTGGAAGGTCGTGAGATTATCAGTAACTTGGCTAAAGCTGCTGGTTTAGCCACCATGATCTCCACCATGAGGCCCGATATTGACAACATTGATGAGTACGTGAGAAACACCACAGCTCGAGCCTTTGCTGTGGTGGCGTCTGCTCTGGGTATTCCTTCCCTCTTGCCATTCTTAAAGGCCGTGTGCAAGAGCAAGAAGTCTTGGCAGGCTCGGCACACTGGCATTAAAATTGTGCAGCAGATTGCCATCTTGATGGGTTGTGCCATACTGCCCCATCTCCGTTCTCTGGTGGAAATTATTGAACACGGCCTAGTGGACGAGCAGCAGAAGGTACGTACGATCACCGCCTTGGCTCTGGCTGCTCTGGCTGAGGCTGCCACCCCCTACGGCATTGAGAGCTTTGATTCAGTCTTGAAACCCCTGTGGCGAGGTATTCGCCAGCACCGTGGTAAGGGTCTCGCAGCTTTCCTGAAGGCTATTGGCTACCTTATCCCACTCATGGATGGAGAATATGCAGATTACTACACACGAGAAGTGATGCTGATTCTTATCCGAGAATTTCAGAGTCCCGATGAGGAGATGAAAAAAATTGTCTTGAAAGTTGTGAAGCAGTGTTGTGCCACTGACGGCGTTGAGCCAGGCTACATCAAAGAGGAAATCTTGCCACACTTTTTCAAGCACTTTTGGAACCACCGAATGGCTCTCGATCGTCGTAACTACCGCCAGCTTGTTGACACAACGGTCGAAATTGCTAACAAGGTGGGCACCTCGGAGATTGTCAACCGCATTGTTGACGACCTGAAGGATGAGAATGAACAGTACCGTAAAATGGTCATGGAAACCATTGAGAAAATCATGGCTAACCTCGGAGCTGCCGACATCGACTCTCGGCTCGAAGAACAGTTGATAGATGGCATCCTCTACGCCTTCCAGGAGCAGACGACTGAAGATGTAGTTATGCTCAATGGCTTCGGTACGATTGTGAACGCTCTTGGGTCTCGAGTCAAGGCCTACCTTCCCCAGATCTGTGGTACAATCTTGTGGAGACTGAACAACAAGTCGGCTAAAGTGCGCCAGCAAGCAGCTGATTTGATATCTCGCATTGCAGTGGTGATGAAAACCTGTCAGGAGGAAAAGCTCATGGGACATTTGGGCGTAGTGTTGTACGAGTATTTGGGTGAGGAGTACCCAGAGGTACTAGGCTCGATCCTGGGTGCCCTCAAGGGTATTGTTAATGTTATTGGCATGCATAAGATGAACCCTCCTATTAAGGATCTCTTGCCACGCTTAACACCCATTCTTAAGAACAGACACGAAAAAGTGCAAGAGAACTGCATCGACCTGGTGGGCCGCATTGCCGACCGTGGCCCAGAATACGTGAGTCCTCGTGAGTGGATGAGGATCTGTTTTGAGCTGTTGGAGCTGTTGAAAGCTCACAAGAAGGCTATCAGGAGAGCTACTGTCAACACATTTGGCTACATTGCCAAAGCTATTGGTCCACACGACGTGCTGGCAACGCTACTCAACAACCTCAAGGTCCAGGAACGGCAGAATCGTGTGTGTACCACTGTAGCCATCGCTATAGTGGCTGAAACATGTTCTCCCTTCACCGTCTTGCCTGGCCTCATGAACGAGTACAGAGTACCTGAACTCAACGTCCAAAATGGCGTCCTCAAGTCACTATCTTTCCTCTTTGAATACATTGGGGAAATGGGCAAGGACTACATCTACGCAGTCACCTCACTCCTGGAAGATGCCCTAATGGACAGAGACCTGGTCCACCGACAGACTGCTTGTGCAGCCATCAAACACATGGCTATTGGCGTCTATGGCTTTGGCTGTGAGGATGCCATGGTCCACCTCCTGAACTACGTCTGGCCCAATATATTTGAAACCTCACCTCATTTGGTGCAGGCCTTCATGGACAGCATCGAAGGACTACGAGTAGCACTCGGGCCTCAGAAAGTAAGTAAGTACTCTTCTCCTTTATACATGTACTTCTGTGACCCATATGCATTTATAGCCTTTAAATAATAATAATAATAATAATAATTTTGGTAATAAAAGTCTGGGTTGTAGGAGTTGGAAGACTCTGGAACTCATCAGTCATTGTTAGTAAAGTTTCTTCCCAATCTTACAGCTATACTTACATTCTTACAGATCCTCCAGTATGTGCTGCAGGGCCTCTTCCATCCAGCCAGAAAAGTGCGCGATGTCTACTGGAAGATCTACAACAACCTGTACATTGGTGCCCAGGATGCCCTGGTGGCCGGATACCCACGGATAATGAACATGGCCAACAACGTCTACACCCGGGACGAACTGGACATCATTTTATAAATTGCCACCATTTTCTGACTCAGCTTTAGTTGCAACTTTGTTCGGTGTGGCGGTGTTGAGTGTTACTTGAGGGTCTTAACTCTGCACGTGCCACTAGCAGTGGCCTCTGCTGGTTATGGTTGAGTACAAACTTTAAGTTTAATGCACCACTGCAATAATTGTCAATGTTGCAAGATTATAATTTAGTGGACCCCTCAATTATATATATAATTATTGACATGGCAAGAATATAATTTATTGGACCACTGAATTATTAACATAGCAAGATTATAATTTAATGGACCACTGGAATAATTCTCGATGAGGCTAGTTTTGCTCCTTCCTTGTACATAACTCCTAATTTCTCCCAAGTCAATTTATAGTAATTTAATTTCGAGTTTTGTATTTTCGTTAAAAAACCAAGGGTTGCAGATTTGCAGTCGTCATAGTCATTAAGTGAAAATCTTGGTCATTCTTGGTAAAAATGGTATTTTACCAGTGTTTATAAGTGACTATAAGTAGTAGGCAGTGGAAATACATATGTACATGTTTATTCTAATTGGATAAAACTGTGAAATTTGACTGCTTGTTTGCCGATTCACATTTTATTGAAGTTTCAAATCGATTACGAGTTCATTTTTTCTCCCTGGAGAGAAGCGTATGGGGTCTACCAGGCTACAGTGTTTGTATTTACACCACGATTATTGTATTTCTGACTTAAGGTTCATACAATAGATGTGTGGGATGTATGTTCATCAGTGGAATACAGTCGTCTCTTATAATTCTGTCTGGTATAGTTTTTTGTGAACATGATTTGAAAAGGTACATTAGAAATTGAAAGGCAGGTATGTGAAGGCCCTTCCACCTGCTGTTCAGTTTGGAATAGACTCTTGTTACAATTATGAAAACTTTATTGAGGAGCTTGAGAGAGCTGACTGTTGCATAGGGGAACTCCTAAGTTACCAACATCTGTACTCATGAACAACGTTCACAGCATGTACTATTCAGGAAAGTCTTGAGTTTTATGAATGCCAACCTGTGGTTACAAATGCATGTGACAGGTATTCCTGAAGGTCAGGGGTTACAAACAACTTGTTTGTAAGTTACTAAGTATATGTGTGTGTTGCATGAGTACATCAGACTGGCAATACCAAACGATTTGTGCACGAATGAGTCGTCAGAGCCAGAATGTGTTTCAGACCCTGATTTGCGTCTACAACGCGTTCCATCAGTGTGAATGCCAGGAAGATGACTAGAGGTAATCGTTTGTGAGAGATAAAAGATGATAACTGCAGTTACAAGTCATCATTGTATGACTAGTAATAATTAATGACTACATTCTTAAAGATTTTATTAAAAATTACTACTGGGAGTTGAGTTTTATTTACTATGCTTGTAAGTGTTGTGGGAACGATCCTAATGGTCTGTTTTAGCATAGGTTCCCATCACCTAGGTACCTGCTGGTGTATGCATGTGTCTGGAACAGCAAGGTCTGCAAGCAGGTGTTTGTAACAGCAGAGGTCCACTAGCAGGTTTCTGGAGCAGCAGAGATCTGCTAGTGGGTGTCTGGAACAGCAGAGGTCTGCAGTGCTGTATTACCCATATGGGTTTAGCATGTAATTGTGATTATATCAGATGTCTGGAACAATGGAAGTTCTCTAATAACACCTACTGGTTTAGCACCTAGCCTGCAGTATAATAACTGGTGCATTATTATTATTATCAAAAAGAAGCGCTAAGCCACAAGGGCTATACAGCAATAACTGGTGGAAACAAAGGATTTACATTAGAACCAGGTGGTTTGAGCTGCTAAACCTTGCAACACTACGAAAGTTAGTGACCGGCTCACTGCCATGCATTTTTATGAACTATAAGGGCTGTTACAACTCTCAACACTACCAGAGTTAGCGATCAGCTTCCACAAATTGCCGTGCATTTTATGAACTGTAAGGGCTGTTACAACTCACACTACCAGAGTTACGTGAACACGTGTTTTAGCACATAATCAACGTCGGGATTTCTTATGAACTAATTATAATTTTATAATCAAGGGGGAAGCGCTAAACCCGGAGGATTATACAGCGCCTGGGGGGGGGGGATGTGGAGTCGGGGGGGACCCCGGCAAAAGGCCTTTTCAGGGTTAATTCGGGGAACTGGAGCACAGATCCAATTCCCTAAATCAAGAGCCCCTTACCAACATCAAGGAACCTTCCTTGAGGGGATATTATGAACTATAAGGGCTGTTACAACTCACACTACCAGTTAGTGACCGGCTGTCACAAATTGTCGTGCATTTTTATGAACTGTAAGGGCTGTTACAACTCACAATACTGCCAGAGTTGGTGACCAGCTGCTACACAATTCTGTTCAACTCATAACTATCAGTATTCACATGTTACACTGTAGCATGAAAGTTAAAAATCAATGAGGGCATTTAGAGGGTTAGCACAAACCCATAAGGGTCATACAGCACCTGATCTACTTGAATCAAGAGCCCTTTACCAGCATCAGAGAAAAGGACACAATAAAACAAGTCATTTATAAAACTTTATGTATGAACACACATCACCAAGAAAATAATAAATGTCATACACTTACACAGAAAAAACATTACTTCCATACACCTTTTTACACTCGTTCATCCATACGTAACTCTAGGAATATTCACCGGGAAGCGTTAAACCCGTAGGGACCATACAGCACATGGGGAATTGAAAGGAAGTTCCATTCAAGTGGAGGTTAGTTGTGAATTGTTGTAGACATGGTATTATGGGTTAGTTGAGAGATGTGCCAGACACAGACCTGCGTATATACACACAAATGGTAAGTAATACCAGAAATACCAAAGAAATACCATTGTATTTGTAAGCCAGCATCAACTGACATTCAGAACAACACCAGTCTCATTCTAAGTATAAAGATTGATCTGATCGGCAAAGAACTCAGAAGACGTTACAAAGAACCTCAATTCCCTGATTTCCCCCCAAAATATTTATGACCCATCACTAACCCAGTTTAATATAAACTGGGTTAAGAAACAGTCGAAATGGGAAACAATCGTTCGACAGGGTTGAGATTGATGGGGCGAGTGACAGGTGTTACAGAGGCTAGGTGTTACTGATAGGTGTCACACTTGCCATCTAGACACACCTAGCACCATACTGGTCCTGGACCAGTCTGGCATCGCCATGGTCTCACATAAAACATGTCTCAGTCCGGTATATGACCATCCCGGACATACACAAAGCGACAAACATGTAAAAATATACAGACTACATATGCTCTTTAACGCATACACTGGCAGACACATCATGACATACAGAGTGTATTTTGTACAGTGTATGTCATACACTGTGTCATTCAATACACCTAATGCCTCATATAGCAGCTGGCTTTCCCTTGGTGTATAGTTTGTATGCTGCTGCCTACCTGATAAGAAAACAATTCTTTTTTGAATACAAAATGAAAAATTCCTTTTCTGTAACCATTATGCTTTCCAGACATGTGTCACACACGTCCACATGTATCACATGTGTCGACATGTCACACATGTGCCACATTACCCTTTCATAAATTCTTGAGAAAACAAACCTGGAGAGGCTTGACTGCCATATATGGATTCATCAGTTGAGAATTGGCTACAGATGGCGAATGCCAGACACTGTGTGTGTCCTTCATAAACCATGGGCACACCCATGTTCTTGAAACTTAAGAATATATTGAAAAATAGGAGAGGGAAGCTTATGGGATGTCAAGTGGCAAACTTTAAAAGGGAAAAATCTTATGAAAATAATTATTTACATTATTATGAGTTACACTGTTACTGTAACATCAGAACCAGGGCATGGGCACTGTATACACTTCCTGGCAGCCTGGAGGTGGTACTTGGTACCTGGAGGTGGTAGCTGATACTTGACAATCACTTCTTGGGAGCCTAGAGGTGGTACTTGGTACCTGGAGGTGGTAGTTGGTACCTGGAGGTGGTAGTTGATAGACAATCGCTTCTTGGCAACCTAGAGGAGGTACCTAGTACCTGGAAGTGGTAGCTGACAGTTGATGATCACTTCTTGGCAGCCTGGAGGTGGTTTGGGGCATCAGCAAACATATACTTGAGTCGGAAAGCCTCAGCAACCAGCAGACTGATCTCACCGTCGGACCAGCCGGACGTCGGCAAGTTCTGCAGCAGCAGCATTAAACCCTGAAGGAACAACATGAATGGCATGAAGTACTAGATAAACAAGATAAAGATGTGCATATAAGGTCAGTGCTCTTATTAAGTTCTATAAAGATGAGCTTTATATGAGCACTCACTATGTATAGAGGAGCTTTAAAAAAGTGATGATATAGAGGTCTATAAGAGAAGTGACTATATTAAATGATTATCTGGTATAATTATTGTTACAGTCAGTAATTATGTTTGTTACAGTGTCTTCAACTCTTCAGACCTCAGAAAATAATATTACTCCCAGTGACTTAAAAAAAATTATATTTTCTTCTGAAATGGTAGAGAAAGTTTTCCTGAAGGTAATGACACCAAAAGTATGAAATATGATGGAAAACTTACGGAATTACGCAAGTGCAAATTTAGTGATCGTGGCGTAATTTACACAGTGGCAATTTTGTCCACTTTGAGTCCTATTTCATGCCAATTCCATTAATCAATCTGACCAATTCTAAGCTATTTCCCTAGTTTGCTTTCCAGTCTATCAATTGAGCAGAAGAAATTGCCCATTCACCTATTACAACTACTCTTTGAAGAGCACACAAGTCGGTAATTTGGCCAATTTTACACAAAATTAAAAAATATTAATTTAAAAATAGTCCGTAATAAACAATGTAGACATTGTTGGTGTTAAGAACGTAAAACTTGTGAAGAGTTACACAAATAACAGTACCATTGACAGTCATGCTCCCTCGTTATGCTGAGGTCAAAGGTGACCTTGTTATGCTAAGGTTACAGGTTCTCTTATGCTGAAGTCACATGCAACCTTGTTATGCTGAGGTCACAGGTGACCTTGTTATACTGAGGTTACAGGTTCTCTTATGCTGAGGTCACATGCAACCTTGTTATGCTGAGGTCACAGGCAACCTTGTTATACTGAGGTCACAGGCAACCTTGTTATACTGAGGTCACAGGCTCCCTTGTTATGCTGAGGTCACAGGTGACCTTGTTATACTGAGGTTACAGGTTCTCTTATGCTGAGGTCACATGCAACCTTGTTATACTGAGGTCACAGGCTCCCTTGTTATGCTGAGGTCACAGGCAACCTTGTTATGCTGAGGTCACAGGCAACCTTGTTATGCTGAGGTCACAGGCAACCTTGTTATACTGAGGTTACAGGTTCCCTTATGCTGAGGTCACATGCAACCTTGTTATACTGAGGTCACAGGCTCCCTTGTTATGCTGAGGTTACAGGCAACCTTGTTATGCTGAGGTCACAGGCAACCTTGTTATACTGAGGTTACAGGCTCCCTTATGCTGAGGTCACAGACTCCCTTGGTATGCTGAGGTCACAGGTTCCCTTATGCTGAGGTCACAGGTTCCCTTGTTATGCTGAGGTCACAGACTCCCTTGTTATGCTGAGGTCACAGGTTCCCTTGTTATGCTGAGGTCACAGGTTCCCTTTTTATGCTGAGGTCACAGGCGACCTTGGCCATGACCTCAGCACAAGGCACCATGACAAATAGTACCATCACATATGTCACTACACAAGTATTACACCATTAACACTAAAACATTTCCTGTGCTTATTACTTATGTGCTTAATTGTCCACTTATTGAGGAATACAGAGACAGACAGTATAATAACCTATGTGACATGTCAAGATATCTTATTAATGAAAATAAGATCCCAGATATACTAAGCAAATTTCCTAAGCTTGCTTGTAACAGATAAGTGAACTGTAGATATTTAGATAAAAAAAATCCATATGTACACCTGTTAACCCTTTTGGGGCCTAGTTCCAGGGCCTTTTGTGTATCCATATGCTCTTGTGCTACCGTCCATAGGATGGATATGGGGTGCACAATAAACTAGCCACTTTGGTGGCAAAATCTAAATCAAAATCTAATCATGTCCTCAGGCCTCACTTGCCTTCCATTTTGAAATGATAATTACATTAAATAGAAGATTTACTCTGTTTTTCAGATAATAAAATATAACCAGAATGATTGTTCATGGCCAGCAGTAACAGCCTGGTTGATCAGAACTTGATCCACCACAAGGCCTGGTCCCAGACCAGGCCGTGGGGGCGTTGGCCCCCAAAACTCTCTCCAGGTATGGTTTACTGCATCCCAATAACTGAGTCAGACCTATTAAAAACCCCTAAAACAGAATGGGGCTTGTAAGGGGCCCTTACTAGGCCTGTGGAATACAGTTGAACCTCAGTTGCTGATTGCATTACTTTTCGAATAATCAGTTTTTTGAATAAGGTGTTAGAGAAAAAACGTCCTGGTTTTTGTACGTTCTCTTGGTTGTCAATAGACAAGTTTTCGTGTGTACAGAATGGGACGAAGTGGTTCAGGTCACGTGCTGACAGAATGCGAATAGGACAATGGTTCGAGAGCGTTGGTATGAGTCGTTACGGCCGCTAACACAGGTGATGTAAACATCTCTTGAGCTTATGTTGTGTATCTTGTCAATTTTTCTTATTTTGCAGTTTTAGTGTAATTTTTTTTATTGTGAAATAAGCCATTATGAGTCAAAAGAAGGACAAAGAGATGAAAAACTCTTGTTGTTTGGAATAAATGAAAAACAGTTACAAGGTGATACTGTTTCAGAGACCATTATTTGTGGGAAAAGTGAGGCAGTTGCATGATGACCTCCTTAAAAAAAAACTAGCAACAAGTGCTGAAACTCAATCCTTCAAGGCTAGTAGGGGATAGTTTGATAATTTTAAGAAAGCAGCAGCATTCATTTTTGAAGGCTATGAAGATAAGCCCGAGCTGGTAGAGAATACAGTGTCTCTGGGACAGACCTTGGGCCCAGAGATGACTGATGATGATGTCAAGGAGTTGGTGGAGGAGCATAGAACTGAACTCACCACACAAGAACTTGTAGACCTTCAGAAGGAGCAGCAACAGCAGAGAAGCTGTCATCAGAGGAAGAGGAGTGAAGGGATGATGTGCCCAATGCACTTGTCAAGGAAATGTGTGCTAAATGGTGTGAAGTGCAGGAGTTTGTTGAAAAAATACCATCCAGACAAAGCAGTGGCCATCTGTCTCTCTAACATGTACAATGACAGTGTAATGTCTCAATTTAGATAAGTGTTAAAATGAAGCCTGAAACAAACCTCACTGGACAGGTTTTCAGTGAGACAAAGAACCAGTGAGCCAGAACAAGATGTTAGTGGTGAAGAGAGACAAAGAACCAGTGAGCCAGAACAAGATGTTAGCGGTGAAGAGAGACAAAGAACCAGTGAGCCAGAACAAGATGTTAGTGGTGAAGAGAGACAAAGAACCAGTGAGCCAGAACAAGATGTTAGTGGTGAAGAGAGACAAAGAACCAGTGAGCCAGAACAAGATGTTAGTGGTGAAGAGAGACAAAGAACCAGTGAGCCAGAAAAAGATGTTAGCGGTGAAGAGAGACAAAGAACCAGTGAGCCAGAACAAGATGTTAGTGGTAAAGAGAGACAAAGAACCAGTGACCCAGAACAAGATGTTAGTGTGAAGAGAGACAAAGAACCAGTGACCGAACAAGATTTTTGGGGAAGAGAACAAAGAACCAGTGAGCCAGAACAAGAGGTAGTGGTGAAGAGGACAAAGAACCGTGAGCCAGAACAAGATGTTGTGGTGAGAGAGAAAAAGGGAAAACCCCCCAGGGGGGAGCCAGAAAACACAGATTTTTTTTTTATGGTGAAAAGAGAAAAAACAAAAAAGAGGGGTTTAACATAACTTTTTCCTTTTTTTAGGGTTTGGGGAAAAAAATTAAAAATTTTAAAAAATTTTACTTAAGTTAATTTTTCAAGGTTTTAAAATTTTTTAAAAAAAAAATTTTTCAGAAAATTCTTTTTTTTTTTTTAAAAAAAGGTTTTCCCAAAAAAATTTCCTGCAAAAAATTTTTTTAAAATAACACTGTTTTTATTGGGGTTTGGGGGGAACACATAATTTTTTTTAAAAATTTTTCCCCCAAATTTCTGGGGTTTTTTTTGAACAAAGGGGGAAATTATTTATTTACATATCATTATGGAAACATTGGGCTTTGTGGGGTCCAAACAAAATGGGGGGCCCCGGAATTAAAGTTTCCAAAAAACCAGGGGGGTCCAAAATTTTAATATTGGGGAAAAATATAATTTTTCCCTCCCTTTAATTTTTGGGGGCCCTCCAAAATTTCAAGGGGAAAAAACCCAATTGTTAGGGAAAACCCCAAAAAAACTTTGGGGGTTTCAGTGGGGGTAAAGTCTTTTTGTTTTTTCTTTTCCCCAATTTTAAAAATAAACACCCCAAAAAATACAAAAATCTGGGGGGAAACCCTCCCAAAATTGCAATTTTAAACCCCCACAACGTCATGGGGGAAACCCTGGCCAATGGCGGGATTATTACCCCCCCAAAAATTCTCTTGTTTTTTGGACAATATTTAAACTATTCCCCGGGTCATTTTGGAAAGTGTTGGGTTTGGGGGGCCCTAATAAGCAAATTGAGGACCGGGCCACAATGATCAGTCTATGTGGGGGACCCGGGCCCCAAAAATGTTGCAGATCTAGTGGGGACCCGGGGCCACAATGAGAGATCAAGTGGGGGACCCTGGCCAAAATGATGCAATCTAGTGAGGGCCCCTGCCACAATGATAGTCTTGTGAGAACCCTGGCCCATGATGCAGTCTTGGGGGGGGGGGGGGGGGGGGGGGGGGGGGGGGGGGGGGGGGGGGGGGGGGGGTGAGGACCCGGGCCACAATGATGAGACATGTGAGGAACCTGGCCACAATGGCAGATCATTGGGAAACCTGGCCCAATGTGAGATCATGTGGGGGACCCCCCAAAATGATGCAGATCATGTGGGGGACCCTGGCCAAAGATGAGATCTATGTGAGGGACCCTGGCCACAAGATGAGATCTATGTGGGGAAAACCCCTCCACAATGATGCAGATCATGTGAGGAACCCGGGCCACAATGATGCAGATGATGTGGGGAAACCCCTGCCACAAGCATAAATCGGGTGAGGAACGTAAAGGGTTTTTAAACAGGGAAACAAACTTAAAATTGTGGTTCTGATGTTTGGTGGATAAGGTGCTATCCAGTGTGCAGACACTAGTGTAAGCTGTTTTGGAAGACAACAAAACAGAGTACAAAGACATCCCTGAAAGTCCCTCTGGCCCAGGTGGTGGAAAAGTATTTGGGGGAAGGAGAACACATGAGAAAAGTGTGGAACCATCATTCAGCTTTTTAATGGTCCCAGAGTTTACTGTACAAAAAGTGGCCTCTCTCTCAAAAAGGGTGTTGAACCCACCGGAATAGAACTGCAAGTAGTCTATCTCGTGACTCTGTGATTTGATGCGGGTTCACTGTAGTGAAGATTACACTATGTTTACACTGCTAATTTACATGACTGTAGTAAACATTACACTGTTTTACAGATATCTTACAGTGACTGTAGAAAAGATTAACGTATTACACTGCACATTTTACGTGTGTAGTAAAGATTACATGTTTACACTGCACATTTTACAGTGACTGTAGTAAAGATTCACGTTACATGCTAATCTTCGTGCTGTAGAAAGATTACACGGTTATCTGGTACCTTACATGACTATAGTGAAGATCCACTCCCTAATCTTCAGTGACTGTAGTAAACATTGCACTTTTTCATCTTACAGGAATGTTTTACGTTGCTTTACACAACCTCCCCCACTACCACTCACCATACACCACTACATACTCACCATACACATAACACACTCACATACACCACTACACTCCCATACACCCTACATACTCACCATACACCACTACACACCACCATAACCCTACACTCACCATACACCACTACTACTCACCATCCTACACACTCACCATACACCACTCACACTGCACCATACACCCACTACATACTCAGCCATACACACACTCTACATCACCATGAACCCCTACACTACTCAGCATATACACCACTACACACTACCATACACCACTACACACTCACCATACACCACTACATACTCACCATACACCACTACACACTCACCATAACCCACTACAACTCACCATACACCCACTACACTACTCACCATACACCCTACTACACTCACCATACACCCACTACACACTCACCATACACCCACTACACACACCATCACCCACTACATACTCACCATACACCCACTACACACTCACCATACACCCACTACACACTCACCATACACCACTACACACTCACCATACACCACTACACTCTACCATACCCACTACAACTCACCATACACCCACTACACACTGACCAACATCTACACACCTACATACATACACACCATACACCACTACACTCTCACCATACACCACTACACCTCACCATACACCCACTACATACTCACCATACACCTACTACACTCACCATACACCCACTCCCCACACTCACCAATACACCCACTACATACTCACCATACACCACTACATACCTACCATACACCACTACACACACATCACCCACTAATACTCACCATACACCACTACATACTCACCATACACCACTACCACTACCATACACCCACTACATACTCACCATACACCCACTACATACTCACCATACACCACTACACACTCACCATATACACCCACTACCACTCACCATACACCACACTACCATCACTCACCAACACCACTAACACACTCACCATACACCCACTAACATACTCACCATACACCACTACACACTCACCATACACCCACTACATACTCACCATACACCACTACATACTCTACCATACACCCACTCCACACTACTCACCATTCACCCACTACACACTCACCATACACCACTACACACTGACCATCACCACTACATACTCACCATACACCCACTACACACTACCATCACCCACTACATACTCACCATACACCACTACACACTCACCATACACCACTACACACTACACATACACCCACTACACACTCACCATACACCCACTACACACTCACCATACACCCACTACATACTCACCATACACCACTACATACTCACCATACACCACTACATACTCACTACACCCACTACATACTCACCATACACCACTACACACTACCATCACCCCTACACTACCATCCACCACTAATACACCCCCAACCCCATACATACTCACCATACACCACTACACACTCACCATACACCCACTACACACTCACCATACACCCACTACATACTCACCATACACACTACACACTCACCATGCACCCACTACATACTCACCATAGCACCACTACAACCACACATACACCACTACAACTCACCATACACCCACTACATACTCACCATACACCACTACACACTGACCATGCACCAACTACATACTCACCATACACCCACTACATACTCACCATTACACCCACTACACACTGACCATGCACCCACTACATACTCACCATACACCACTACAACTACCCATACACCACTACATACTCACCATACACCCACTACACACTCACCATACACCCACTACATACTCACCATACACCCACTACATACTCACCATACACCACTACACACTCACCATACACCACTACATCACTGACCATGCACCCACTACATACTCACCATACACCCACTACATACTCACCATACACCACTACACACTGACCATGCACCCATACATACTCACCATACACCCACTACATACTCACCATACACCACTACACACTCACCATACACCCACTACACACTCACCATACACCCACTACATACTCACCATACACCACTACACACTCACCATACACCCATTTACTACCATCCACCATACACCCAACTACATACTCACCAGCACCCACTACATACTCACCATAGCACCCACTAACATCACCATACACCCACTACAACTCACCATACACCACTACACACTCACCATACACCACTAACACACACCATAGCACCCACTACATACTCACCATACACCCACTACACACTGACCATGCACCCACTACATACTCACCATACACCCACTACACACTCACCATACACCCACTACACACTCACCATACACCCACTACACACTCACCATACACCCACTACACACTCACCATACACCCACTACATACTCACCATACACCACTACACACTCACCATACACCCACTACATACTCACCATACACCCACTACATACTCACCATACACCACTACACACTGACCATGCACCCACTACATACTCACATACACCCTACAACCACCATACACCACTACACACCACCATACACCCACTACATACTCACCATACACCCACTACATACTCACCATACACCACTACACACTGACCATGCACCCACTACATACTCACCATACACCCACTACATACTCACCATACACCACTACACACTCACCATAACACCCACTACATACTCACCATACACCCACTACATACTCACCATACACCACTACACACCATACACCCACTACATACTCACCATACACCCACTACATACTCACATACACCACTACACACTGACCATGCACCCACTACAATACTCACCATACACCACTACACACTCACCATACACCCACTACACACTCACCATACACCACTACACACTCACCATACACCACTACACACTGACCATGCACCCACTACATACTCACCATACACCCACTACACACTGACCATGCACCCACTACATACTCACCATACACCACTACACACTCACCATACACCCACTACACACTCACCATACACCCACTACACACTCACCATACACCCACTACACACTCACCATACACCCACTACATACTCACCATACACCACTACACACTCACCATACACCCACTACATACTCACCATACACCCACTACATACTCACCATACACCACTACACACTGACCATGCACCCACTACATACTCACCATACACCCACTACATACTCACCATACACCACTACACACTCACCATACACCCACTACATACTCACCATACACCCACTACATACTCACCATACACCACTACACACTGACCATGCACCCACTACATACTCACCATACACCCACTACATACTCACCATACACCACTACACACTCACCATAACACCCACTACATACTCACCATACACCCACTACATACTCACCATACACCACTACACACTCACCATACACCCACTACATACTCACCATACACCCACTACATACTCACCATACACCACTACACACTGACCATGCACCCACTACACACTCACCATACACCACTACACACTGACCATGCACCCACTACATACTCACCATACACCACTACACACTCACCATACACCCACTACATACTCACCATACACCCACTACACACTCACCATACACCACTACACACTGACCATGCACCCACTACATACTCACCATACACCACTACACACTCACCATACACCCACTACATACTCACCATACACCCACTACATACCATACACCCACTACATACTCACCATACACCCACTACACACTCACCATACACCACTACACACTGACCATGCACCCACTACACACTCACCATACACCCACTACATACACACCATACACCACTACACACTCACCATACACCCACTACACACTCACCATACACCCACTACATACTCACCATACACCACTACACACTCACCATGCACCCACTACATACTCACCATACACCCACTACATACACACCATACACCCACTACACACTCACCATACACCACTACATACTCACCATACACCACTACACACTCACCATGCACCCACTACATACTCACCATACACCCACTACATACACACCATACACCCACTACACACTCACCATACACCCACTACATACACACCATACACCAATACACACTGACCATACACCCACTACACACCATACACCCACTATACACTCACCATACACCCACTATACACTCACCATCAATCCTCTTCACAAGTTCACCAAGCTGCTGCACTTTAGTCTGTATACCGGGCTGAGCGAAGGTGTAGTTATCTTGTATACCGTCCAGTAGCTTGGACATACACCAGAAACTGTCGGCCTCGACCACTGCCCGGTCCTCCTCGGCCACCAGCTCCACATCATATGTGTCCACCTTCTCTTCTGTAAGACACACCAATGACAATAATAATAATAATAATAATAATAATAATAATAATAATAATAATAATAATAATAATAATAACAATAATAATAATCTCATGGGTAACTAGGTTAGAATCCTTCCTGCATAAGTCATGCTATCTATATTATTATCTGAAAGAGATGACAAACTCACCCTTAGGAACCACTTCATGAAGGAAGACAATGAAGAACGGTGTAACAAGGTCGTTGATGCCCTGGACATACCCAGACGCTGGATGACGTATGGCCCAGATGTAAAGGATCCGCTCAAACATGCGCTGAACCACCACCTGCTGGAACAACGGTACCAGCGGTGACATCCTCGGTATGTCAATGTGGATCTGCAAAGACGATGACAGGTTGTATACAAGTACTGACAGGTTGCATACTGGTACTGACAGGTTGTATACTGGTACTGACAAGTTATATACTGGTACTGACAGGTTATATACTGGTACTGACAGGTTGTATACTGGTACTGACAGGTTGTATACTGGTACTGACAGGTTGTATACTGGTACTGACAGGTTGTATACTGGTACTGACAGGTTGTATACTGGTACTAACAGGTTATATACTGGTACTGACAGGTTATATACTGGTACTGGTAGGTTGTAGACTGGTACTGACAGGTTGTAGACTGAATAATAAAAAAAGGCACAATACCGTGACTGGAACGATACACAAATAACCCACATGTAGAAGAGAGGAGTTTACGATGACATTCATTATTTGTCCCCATCCCTCTGTGTTCTTGCTCTTACCCTCTGTGGGCATCTAGCTCCCTTGTGGGCATCTAGCTCCCTTGTGGGCACCTACCTCCCTTGTGGGCATCTAGCTCCCTTGTGGGCACCTAGCTCCCTTGTGGGCACCTACCTCCCTTGCAGTGCTCCACTTAGTATTTGACTGGCTCCTCCTCCTCCTTACTACCTTCCCCACTACTACTTCCTTCTACCTCCACCACTATTACCACCTCCTGCCTATATATACCCCTCCTTCTCCCCTTTCGTTAGCGACTTTGTAAATGGTCCAAGTCATTCCGAAACGTCATCATAAACTCCTCTCTTCTACATGCGGGTTATTTGTGTAAGGTTGTAGACTGGTACTGACAGGTTGTATACTGGTACTGACAGGTTGTATACTGGTACTGACAGGTTGTATACTGGTACTGACAGGTTGTAGACTGGTACTGACAGGTTGTAGACTGGTACTGACAGGATGTATACTGGTACTGGCAGGTTGTATACTTGTACTGACAGGTTGTATACTGGTACTGACAGGTTGTATACTTGTACTGACAGGTTGTATACTGGTACAGACAGGTTGTATACTGGTACAGACAGGTTGTATACTGGTAATGACAGGTTGTATACTGGTAATGACAGGTTGTATACTGGTACTGAAAGGTTGTATACTGGTACTGACAGGTTGTGTACTGACAGGTTGTATACTGGTACTGGCAGGTTGTATACTTGTACTGACAGGTTATATACTGGTACTGACAAGTTGTATACTGGTACAGACAGGTTGTATACTGGTAATGACAGGTTGTATACTGGTAATGACAGGTTGTATACTGGTACTGACAGGTTGTATACTGGTACTGACAGCTTGTATACTGGTACAGGTTGGCCATCACTAATCTGGCAATCAGTAATCCGACACTAATTTCACCTAGCATAATTTCAAATTTCCGGGGTCACCACACCAACCTGCTGCTACTGTTTGGTGGCGCTACTAACTGCATAAGTCATTCCAATTTCTTTTTCTCCATTTATTGTTAGAGGTGACAGTGAAGTGCAAACTATCGTACAAGTGTTATAATGAGGAAAAAAGGATATAAATAGGCAGTGATATAGTAAACTAAACTTATGGATTAGAGTTAACCCTTTTAATCTTGAGTGTAGTGTAAAACTATGGTATAATTATATTGGAACAAGTGCACAAGTGCCACCCGCACCCCACCTCCCAGCCCCGGCCTTGTGCCCCCACCCCATCCCCTGGATCCTACACCACCCATCCAACAATCTCACCCCCCGGCCCTCCCTCCTCATACCCTCACCTTCTTTCCACAGACCCCTATCTCCCAGCTTACCACCCCACCACACAGCCCCCTCCTCCTATTGTCCCTTCCCTCTACCCAAGGATACCCACCGCCCCCATCTACCAGCCACCCCACCACCAGCCACACAATAAATACACCATCCACCACATGAGGGGTATTGACTGTGAAATATGGGGTAAAACATCACATATATCATGTACGAAGCTTCATGCAACCATGACAAGAAACAAGAAAGTCATTTCTGGATTTGCCGCGGTGAGAGGGACAGCTGGTGAAGCAGAAGAGAGGCACTGAAAAGTGAAAACATAGTAAGCATAAGGAAGTTTCTAAGGAGTTTGCCAGAGTTATACAAAGAGTGAAAAACAGGGGAAAAGGAACAAGAAAAAGAGGAAAATGCAAATAGAGGTGAAAATCAAGGAGTGGAAGTAAGAGTAAGAGTAGAAAATGTCATACAGAGCAAGTCAGAAAAGAAGGAAACAGGGATACATAACATAGCAGAAAGGGGAAGCGAGGATGAGAAAGCTAGAACAGGAACAAACGAAAACGAGCAAAGGGAAGAAATTAGCCTAGAAGAAAGTGAACAAGAGAACTCAGATCAGGTGGCAGAACTTAGGAACGACACAATCAATAAATATAGGTAGTCAGAACATTTGCAGATACTATGCTAAAGGTATGTGCCTATATGGCAGAGATTGTTGGAATAAACACACCAGAAAACGTGCAAACATGTTGAGGAAGGGAAAGTGTTGTTTCAACAAAGAATGCAGCAGGTACTTCCATCCAGTAATGTGTAAAGCTTCAACGCAGTTCAGAGAATGTTATGACCTGAGCTGCCCAGACCATCATGTAAAAGGAACGCGGCGCTACAGAGTTAGCAGAGAAAGGGAAATTGAATAGCATTCTTTTTTAGACAAAAAGAGAAAAGATCAAAACAAAGGAAGAGACAAACAGGGGGAATGGTACAGAGAGGACAGGTGGGCAGTAAAATGGGGCGTACCAAACCAAGCATCAGCCTGTCAAGGCCGAATAGCAAACAAATGTGAAGCCAGTACTGGAGAAACCAGGGGAGTGTACACCAGGGGACATACCAGGTAGTACACCACCAGTGGTACTAATGAAACACAAAGAGAGAGAAAACATCTCACTTGGTAATTCCTGCTTCATATTTGTAAATATACAGGGTTTGAAATCAAATAAAAATGACAAAGTTAGTTAGTCAGTGGGCTCCTATCAGAAGCAAATGCCATGTTCGGAGCATTTACAGAAACACTTACAAGGGATGTTTTGGATGGCGAGATAAAGATAGAAAACTACAACATGTATAGATGTGATAGAATCAGTAGGTCACAGGGAGGAGTAGGAATCTATGTAAAGGATACTTTCTGTTGCACACAAGTGCTGAACTCTACAAACAATATAGTACAAATTCTAGGCTTTTAAAAGTTGAAAATAGGAATTTGGTAATTATCCTAGTATACAAACCACCATCATCAACTGGTGAGGAATTCAGAGCAGCTAAGGAAGGTAGATAGTTATGTGGATAGGCTAGAAAAATCCCACACCAAATATTTTACTCCTTGAAGATTTTGATCTCCCTCATGTTAAAATGGAAGAGGGGCGGGGCACCTATTTTAATGTATATACGCCAGAAATATCTCGGGAAGCACCCTGGTTCAACAGGCACATACCAGGGAACTAATGAGGCTTTGTGAAAAGTACTCTTTAAACCAACAGGTAATTGATCCCACCAGAAATGAAAATACCCTGGATTTGATATTCACAAACGACGAGGAACTGATGAGAGACATAACAGTTACAAAAACAATACTCTGATCATAATATCATAGAGGTTCAAACTAGTATTAACTCAAGGTTAGGAAACTGCGTCACTAAAGTTAGAGACGGGATGTTCAGTAAGTTTAATTTTAACAACCATAGAATTGACTGGGAAAAAATAAACCAAGACATATCAGACATATCCTGGGAAGCAGACATGAGCGACCTAAATCCCCACCAGTGCCTAGAGAAGCTGAATACAGAAGCATACAAGGTGTGTATGAAGCATGTACCATTGAGGAAACCCAGAAGATCACATATAGAGAGAGAACGTAGGAGATGGCACAGGAGAAGAAAACAGGTTACTGAATTGCTTAAAAACACAAATATGCTTCAAGTAGAGGAAAGATAGGCTTAGACAAGAGATCATTGAACTGGAGCAAAAACTTAGGATGTCATACCTCACAGAAGAAGTACGAAGGGAAAAAAAAAGGGCCATACAAGATATTGCAAGAAACCCAAAATATTTCTATTACTACGCAAAATCCAAGCTAAGAACTACCTGTAGAACTGGACCACTACTGAGAGGAGACTCATATACTGACGATGAACAGGAAATGAGTGAAATCCTTAAAGAACAGTATGAGTCTGTGTTCAGCAACCCACTAAATGACAGTAAGGTAAAAAATGCAGAAATATTTTTCACTCCAGAAGAAGGCTGCACAGACCAACTAAACATAAGTACAAATCCCATAGATTTCGAAAAATAAATGGAAAACATGCCCACTCACTCAGCACCTGGACCAGATTCATGGAATGCTCTATTTATAAAGAAGTGCAAAGTACCACTAGCTACGAGCCCTCAGTATTCTTTGGAGAAAGAGCTTAGATCTAGGTGAAATACCGGAGGCCTTAAAGAGTGCAGACAGAGCTCCTTAGCATAAGGGAGGTAGTAGAGCACTAGCTAAAAATTACAGACCAGTAGCCCTAACCTCTCACATCATAAAAATCTTCGAAAGAGTGATGAGACGGCAGGTTACAAATTTCATGGACCAGCACAACCAACATAACCCAAACCAGCATGGTTTCAGAGCACGACGATCATGTCTGTCACAGCTGCTGAACCATTACAACAGAATTAAGGAGGCATTGGAAGACGATCAAAACACAAATGTGATTTACACAGATTTTGCAAAGGCGTTTGACAAATGCGATCATGGAGTGATAACGCACAAAATGAAGGCCATGGGCATTACGGGTAAGGTAGGCAGATGGATTTTCGGTTTCTTAACACACAAAACACAAAAAGTAGTAGTGAACAGGGCAAGATCCAGCATCAGCAAGGTCAAAAGCTCAGTGCCCCAAGGCACTGTCCTGGCACCTCTGCTGTTCCTCATCCTCATAGCAGACATAGACAAAAACACCCGGCACATTTTTGTATCATCATTTGCAGATGACACTAAAATAAGCATGAAAGTCAGTATGGTAGAGGACACTGAAAAAGTACAGGAAGACATAAACGGTGTTTTCCACTGGGCGGTGGAGAACAACATGACGTTCAATGGTGATAAATTCCAGCTGCTTAGGTATGGAAAGAATGAAGAACTCAAAAGGAGCACTACATGTATATACAAAACTCAAGAGGGCCACCAAATAGAACGTAAGGAACACATAAAAGATCTAGGAATAATTATGTCAACGGACCTTTCTTTTAAAGTCCATAACAAGACAAACATCACGACAGTCAGAAAGATGACGGGGTGGGTATTGAGAACTTTCAAAATAAGGGAAATAATGCCGATGGTGAAACTCTTCAAATCGCAAGTGCTCCCTCATTTAGAATATTGTTCAGTGCTGACGGCCCCATTCAAGGCAGGAGAAATATCGGAGCTGGAACAAATACAGAGATAGTTTACAGCTCACACTGAGCCAGTAAAGCACCTAAACTACTGGGAATGCCTGCAAGTCTTAACATGTACTCATTGGAGCAGAGGACAGAGAGGTACTGATAATATATACCTGGAAGGTACTGCCATAACAACATACTGGAATGAGAATATGGGAGGAAGTGTAAAATAAACCCAGTGAGGAGCAGGGATGCAGTAGGGAAAATAAGGGAACACTGTATCAACATCCGGGGTCCCAGACTTTTCAACATCTTACCAGAGGATATCAGAAACACTGCTGGAACAAGTGTTGAAGCCTTCAAGAGGAAACTAGACAAGTATCTTCACCAGGTGCCAGATCAACCAGGCTGTGATGGATATGTGGGGCAGCGGGCCTCCAGCAGCAACAGCCTGGCTGACCAGGCAAGCACCACACAAGCCTGGCCCATGGCCAGGCTCAGAGAGTAGATAAACTCTCGAAACTCTTCAAAGGTATATCAAAGGTACCTGCTTACTTTTAGCCCTAGCCGTGGTTCCAACGAATAAAAGAAATGCTTCTCATTGTGTAAAGCTTATACACCGCACTTTGTCCATAAAAGATAAAGTGGCTTAGAAGCCACTGTCGGTCGCCATAAGCTCAGCTCACTCAGATAAGTTGTGACCAGTAAATTTGGGCCTATGTACGAGAAAATAGATGTGTGTGGTAAGTCTGCACTATATATAAAAAATCCTGCAGCACACAGTACATAATGAAAAAAACAACTGCAAGATGGTATATGGTGTAAATCCAACTTTGTGGTGTATTTTTGTATGGTTTATATGGTTTATATAATTGGTTTTTTTTTGTCTCATTTGATAGAATGGAAGACATATTACAGAAATAGATATAATTTTGATTGGTTTCACACCAGAAAATACATTAAAATTGAGCTCAAAGTAGTGGAAATGTTCGATTTTTGCCAATGTTGAAGAGTAAACAAATGACATCACCATCCAATACGTGTCCAACTGGCCAGTCTAATACGCAGACATAAATGGGTTGACATTATTTATACAATTATTACAATAATGCAGTAGTCTGCATAACAGTAAATCTACTATTTTTTGTGTGAATAAAAATTCAAAATGGAAAGAAAGTGTAATATAAGAGGGGCCGGGAGATGTGACTGATGAAAAGAGGAAATGTTATTTTTGTGCTAGGAATGATTGCACTGTTTATTCTGGACTCTATTTTGAAATTGGCAACTTTTGAAATTTGTGTGAAAATGGCCAAATAACCAATTTCTGACTATTAGGCAGTTTCTTATACAGTGGACCCCCGGTTAACGATATTTTTTCACTCCAGAAGTATGTTCAGGTGCCAGTACTGACCGAATTTGTTCCCATAAGAAATATTGTGAAGTAGATTAGTCCATTTCAGACCCCCAAACATACACGTACAAACGCACTTACATAAATACACTTACATAATTGGTCACATTTGGAGGTAATCGTTATGCGGGGGTCCACTGTACTCAGTTAACTGTCAGGATAGATATACTAGGTAGCTACGAGTTTATATACTGGAACAGGTGGATAGGGGCAAAATTCGGTTGATAAGTGGTTGTCAGGTTGCAATGCTAATGTCAGGTTAATTTTTTACCGACCCAGTTGTAACTGATACTAAACAGCCATACAATCCGGTGATTGCTGGTTTATATGGCAACCTACTGACAGGTTTATGTGCTGGTACTGTCAGGTTTATATACTGGTACTGACAGGTTGTATACTGGTATGTCAGCTTGTATACTGGTATTGTCAGGTTGTATACTGGTACTGAATATATACACTGTCGGGTATATATGTAGTACTGTATTGATAAGTTTCGCCAGGTTACAATGGTATTGTCAGTTCATACTGGTACTGACTGGTGGAAGGTACGCAGGTATATACATACTGTCAGGTTAATATGGTTGAGGTTTTCAGTGGAGAAGATATTTTATTACCGAAGGGGGATTATGAGTACTAAAATTTGTTCCGCTAAGAATTGGAATAGTTTGTCATCAGACCTTCCACTACAGTGTTCAAACCATTACATAAATATTCTATTGGGATTGGATGAATCGAAGCGGGGGTTCCATGATATGCTATGCAGGGTACTTGCTGACAGATTATCAATCTCAGTTGAATGCTACAGTTTTACTGTATATACAGTCGTACATACAGATGACAGCTTATATACTGTACGTAAAGTTGAACTGATATAAATACTACGGTATTACCAGGGTAGATTGTACTGGACTTCGAAAAAGCCATTGTTTGGTACTGACGTTGTCATATACAGGATCACTTATACATGTACACTGGTGGAATATTAATCCTTTGAGTCGGTATAATTGATACCTTTATTGACCTTTCATAAATGAGCTATGACAAAGTTATATCTGGTATGTCAGGTACGAAATATTGTATGACAGGTTATATATGTGAGGTCAGGTTGATATGTATGCATTCTGATGGTACCGAGTGGGTTGATTAAACTCTTGGTACTGAAGGTTATAGTTTCATGGTTCTGCAGGTTTATACCTGTATTGTATTGTACTGGATACATGAAGAGTTTCTTAATGGTATTGTTAAAGGTTGTCATTATCCTGGTTACTGACAGGTTTATATACACTGGTACTGTCAGTTGTATTCACCTGATAACTTGAAGGTATATATACTGCGTATTCACCAGGTTGTTTGGGTAGACTTGAAAAACCCACTGGTAGCGAAATGTTGTAATACAGGTTAAACTGTCATGTGTTTATATTTCATTGTCGGTTTTATACATTGTACTGTCATTGTATACTGGTACTGACAAGTTATATACTGGTACTGTCAGGTTGTATACTGGTATTGACAGGTTGTATAGTGGTATTGAAGGTTGTATACTGGTACTGACAGGTTATATACTGGTACTGTCAGGTTGTATACTGGTACTGACAGGTTATATACTGGTACTGTCAGGTTGTATACTGGTACTGACAAGTTATATATTGGTATTGTCAGGTTGTATATTGGTACTGACAAGTTATATACTGGTATTTTCAGGTTGTATACTGGTACTGATAGGATGTATACTGGAACTGACAGACGTTGAACTCTATCTACCATACAAGACACTCACACATACACTACATGCAAGTCACTCAAAATAAAAATTCAATCAATGAATTATCATGATTATCATTATTACCGGGGTGATTAGGACACACACCTGCCTGAACGTGTCCTGATAGATGTCCTCATGGCGTGTGTCATAGTACTGGTTCACAAAACTCCAGTATTCCTCACGTTTCCTCCTCAATGTGTCCTCACGTCTCTCTGCATTGGCTGGCAGGTACCCCTGCGTGTCCAAGATAATTATTAACTGTATATATGTACAGGAACTTTATAAGATAAGTGACTGCATATAGAGGAACTTTATAACATCACCCCTGCAAGTCATTATACCCTTCAGTGATTGTATGTTTTAGCCTAAGTAGATAAAATCAGTAATTTTAAATTACTGGCCCATTAATGGCAGTTGTGGGACACTATAATCATAACATTATGCTGGTGCGATACACCGATGGCCATTAATCTCACTTCACCAACTCACGAAATGTGAGTATTTGTGAGCTCGGAGGCTATTTAGTGCAGAAATGAGGGAGCACTTAACCCATATGGGGTAAGGTTGTACAGTGCAGAGGCAATTGCCAGGTTTGATCCAAGGCTAGTCTAGGCCCTACTGCTGTCAGTTTAGTGTCACACGTTGCTGAAAGTGACGGCAGGCCGCTGGGGTTCACAGGGCAGAGACGGGTGACTCTGGACCCCAAGAAGAAGCAGAAGTGTGACAGACACGTACGTTGAGGAGCCTCCAGGTGACAGCACGTACGGCAGGCGGGATGCCCGACCATGACAACTTGCGGAGCTCTGAGAGGTTGGTGCTACTGCTGGAGAGCAATTCCTCAAACTTGTCCTGCTTGGCCATGTCTCTCTCAGTACCTGGAACAACACAACAATATTACCTCTAACACCTGACAACACAGGAGGGTTCCACTAACAGCACTGCACTAACCAAGCAGTTTTCAATTATACCCATTGTTCACTTGTTCAGATTTCCTACAATAAACGTATTCTCCACTCACTATGAACTAAGTACGAAAATATTATCAGTTAAGTAACGAGTGTACTGTATTGCATTTTTTAGACCTAACTCTATTGCTCACATAATATATGAGAGTGTAAACATGTCATCAGGATTTTATATGTATCTGAAAGTAAAAAAAGGCTTGTTTGACTCTACAGCAGCAGTCCAGAAGCTGTTTGACTCTACAGCAGCAGTCCAGAAGCTGTTTGACTCTACAGCAGCAGTCCAGAAGCTGTTTGACTCTACAGCAGCAGTCCAGAAGCTGTTTGACTCTACAGCAGCAGTCCAGAAGCTGTTTGACTCTACAGCAGCAGTCCAGAAGCTGTTTGACTCTAGCAGCAGTCAAAGCTGTTTGACTCACAGCGCAGTCCAGAAGCTGTTTGACTCTACAGCAGCAGTCCAGAAGCTAACCTGCTGTATAAGCAGAGCCCTGATGTACTATTACTAGGGAGAGAGACAAGTTACCTGAGGTACTGATGACCGGTGTTCGGTGAGTGAGTGCTGCTGACGGGTCCAGTCTGGAGAGCGGTAGTGTACCCTCAACTGTGTGCGACAACATCAACATTAACTCTACCTCACAAGTTTACCTCACATATTATAATGTTTATTCAGTAATGGTTGATACTTGAGTGAATATTGAAACATCCTGGTTATGTTGAATATTTCTGACCTAACTTAACACTACAACAATGTTATATTACTGTACATAACTATAAGAAAATATTAGTTGGCTTATGGTCTACTGACTTTATACTTACTATTTTGTATATAACATTATACTATAAAGGCAGAGGGGATAAAAGAGTGTAAAAATTATAGGGGAAATAAGTCTGTTGATTATACCTGGCAAAGTGTATGGTAGAATTATTATTGAAAGAATTAAGAGTAAGATGGAGAACAGGAGAGCAGATGAACAAGGAGGCTTTAGGATAGGTAGGGGGTGTGTGGACCAGGTGTTTACAGTGAAACATGTAGGCGAACAGTATTTAGATAAGGGTAAAGCGGTTTTTGTGGCATTTATGGATTTGAAGAAGGTGTATGACAGGGTGGATAAGTGGGCAATGTTGCAGGTGTATGGTATAGGAGGTAGGTTGTTGAAAGCAGTGAAGAGTTTTTATGAGGATAGTGAGGCTCAAGTTAGAGTATGTAGGAGAGAGGGGGATTATTTCCCAGTAAAAGTAGGCCTTAGACAAGGATGTGTGATGTCATTGTGGTTGTTCAATATACTGTATTTATAGATGGAGTTGTAAGAGAAGTGAATGTGGGGTCTTGGCAAGTGTGGAGTTAAAAGATAAAGAATTGAACACAAACTGGGAGTTGTCACAGTTGCTCTTTGCTGATGACACTGTGCTTCTGGGAGACTCTGAAGAGAAGTTACAGAGATTGGTGGATAAATTTGGTAGGGTATGTAAAAGAAGAAAATTAACCCTTTGACTGTTTCAGGTCGTCTCTGAAACTGTCATTCTATGTCGCCAAATATTCGAAAAAAAAAAATTATTTTTTCTTATGAAAATGTTAGGAATATTTTTACTAGTGTTTTAAGCCTAAAAAAAAATTTTTGCCATCAGTACTTACCGAGATATAGAGCTGCAAAGTTTGCAGAAAGTGACGTGCGTACGGCAACAGCGGCGACTGCCGCCCACCCGGTATTCTTTTATTTACTCTAATTAAAAGGTTTCTTGCATTTTTAAAAATTTTTCTTTTTTCCAGGTAATTTAAATGGGGGCCTTGAGCCCAAATGTAAGGTGAAATTGTTCAATATACACTCTTTTTACAACAAAAAAACAGAACAAATTTTTATCCCTTTTAGTTTTTTTATACATTTTTGTTTAAAACAAAACAAACAATAAAAAAAACCAAGGGTTTTTTAAAATATTTTTTATAAAAAATAAATACATATGTACAGCCCAAAAAAAACCACGTTCCTAAAAACTGCTGCGCTTGTGGAACTCTTTTAAAAACAGGGGGTAAAGGGAAAAGAGGGGAAACTTCACATCCCACAAAAAAAAACGATTTGTCTCTTTTTTGTTTGGGGGCATTTTGTGGTTTGCATACTTAATAACACCTTTTCGAAAAATTTTTTTGGCAGAAAAGTAGGAGGCATTTTGTTGGGGTTTTGTCACCCAGGCCTCATACGAAAATTTTCCCTGTGGGGCGGGGTCTTTGCGGGAAAATTTTCCCCCTTGGGTACTTTGAAATTTAAATTTGTCTTTTTAAACTTAAACGGGAAAAAATTCACCTTTTTTTGGTGTTTTGTTGGTTTTTAAAACTTGTATATTTAAAAAAATTTTAGCTTTAGGGGATACCCAAAAAAGAGGGAAAAAAAAAGTTCAATATACCACTTATAACTCTTGCGTTACCCCAGCCCCTTAAACCCCCCAAACCCGCATGTCACATTTTGTCCACTAAGCGCATATTAAAGGTTTTTGTAGTCCATGAAAAGCTGCAGGTTTTTAAAATGGGTTAAATTTGGTCTCTCCGTTGCCCCCTGCCACGGGGGTACCTTTTTTTTTTTGTGTAATGATTTTCCAACAATTGACACCCTTTTTTTTGCCCATGCCCACCAAAAATGCCAAGATTTTCTTTGGGGGAGAAAAGGGCGAAACCTCCCCTTTTTGCGATTTGGCCAGCGCCCAAACCCTTGGCATTTTTTTTGCGTTTTACCACGCACTTTTGGCCACAAAAAGGGCGTCAAGTTCACTCCAAAAAAAATTACTGAGAAAGGGGGGCCTTGTGCCCCAGTTATCGGGAAATAACTTTTTCCCCCTTCCCCAAGATATGGTTCCATCTTTTTCAAAAACCCATCACCAAGATACCCAAAAACCTTCAGGGTTATCTCTCAAAGTATTACTCCCCAGTGTACACAATAAAATCAAAAAACAAGACCACTTTCCCCAATTTCAACCATACAAAAAACTTTATACCAAAGCTTTTCCTTTTTGGGCTTGGGGATATATTGCTTAATGAGAGCCCCTTCCTTTGAATAAAATAAAGGACTCATCAAAAAACAAGCTTCCTGAAGGGAAAAAAATACATGCGCACTTTTGTTTCAGGTACATAAAACAAAAATTTTTTATCTTTAAAACCCTTTTTCGCCCCTGTCGGGCCTGGTTTTGTCGGGAAAATTTAAAATTTACAAAAACATTTATGGGGGAAACCCGATTGACACCTATAATGCACAAAAAACCGGGTTTTTTGAAATGGGCCGATTGTTGCCCCAGTTGGGGGTTTACGGGTTGCTTATACACATTGGGCATAGCATTTTGGGGAAAAAAAAACAGGTACATCTCGCCAAAATTTTCCCCCTTTCCCAACTTGTTTTACCCTTTTTTTTGGTGAGAGAATTGTATTTCCGGGGGGTTTTAATCAAAAAGTATGAAATTTGTTTCCCTGAAAAATTGATGCCTCAGGGGTTCAAGAAAAATAACTAAAAAGCACCCAAATTCACGGGCTTTTGGTTCCCAAGTGGACAAGTTTGGCTTTTTTTTCCATTTTTGTGTTTCATAAAAGGCCCAGGGGGGACGGGGAAAAAAACCCTCGTCACCGTCCTGCCAATCCCAGATGCGGTCTGCTGGTGGGGTCTGGATATTGTACCGTGGTTGTGGTTGTGCAGGTTGTGGTGGTGCAGGTTGTGGGAGTGTGGGGTAGGGTGAGGCTGGTTGTTGTGCTGAGTCAGCAGCGTGGGTAGTAGCGTGGCCCGCTGATGGTGCCACATGGGCCGTGCCACCCTCACTATCACCACCACTGCCTCCTCCCTCACTGCCACCATTCATACCCATCGTTACAATATCGTCATCTTCACTATCAGGTCGTGGTGTAGGGCCACGGGATGTGCTCCCAGAGTTTCTCCTTCCCCTTGGAACAACATATGAAACACTACCAGACCGCATACTACGTCGTACATACTGGCGCTTCACTGGGGAATATTCACTCTCACTGTCACTAGAACTGCTTTCAATGACCTTGAAATCACTATCACTATCACTGCTATCATCAGGGTGTTGTACACAACTAAATAGTTTTCTCTTTCGTCCTGGTACAGGCGAACGTGAACGTGAACAAGCCGGCACAGCACCAGAGGTCGAAGGTTGTGGGTCATCTGGGTTTTCGTCACTATTTACGTTATCCTGGGCACTTTTTTCGGTAACACTCACTGAAAACCCTTGAATTCACTGTCACTGACATTTTCATCGCTGTTAGAGCTATCACTTGGGAACAAAAGACCCAATCCCCGAGGAAAGTGAGGAACTTCTTACCGAGAGGCATGGTGAAAATGGACTGACAACATGGCGTTCCCACAATGCACCGCTGGGTCCCAGATTTTTTTCACAGGGTGCACACCGACCACTGAGACCCATTCTCTCCCATGTAGGCCTACCAGGCCTTTGGCGCTCGATTTGAAGCCGCTAGAATTTGTGCGTATAAATACGTCAGAAACATTGGCTCGTAAGACGTATTTATACGTCGGAAACAGTCAAAGGGTTAAAAGTGAATATAGGAAAGAGTAAGGTGATGAGGATAATAAAAAGATTAGGTGACGAAAGATTGAATATCAGATTGGAAGGAGAGAGTATGGAGGAGGCAAATGTAAACAGATATTTAGGGGTGGACGTGTCAGCAGATGGGTCTATGAAGGATGAGGTGCATCATAGAATTGATGAGGAGAAAACGGAGAGTGTTACACTTAGGAGTCTATGGAGACAAAGAGCTTTGTCCATGAAAGCAGAGGGGAATGTATGAGAGTATAGTTATACCAACACTCTTATATGGGTGTGAGGCACGGGTGATGATTGTTGCAACGAGGAGGAGGCTGGAGGCAGTGGAGATGTCATGTCTGAGGGCAATATGTGGTGTGAATATAATGCAAAGAATTTGTTATTTGGAAATTAGGAGAAGGTGTGGGATTACCAAAACTATTATCCAGAGGGCTGAGGAAGGGTTGTTGAGGTGATTCAGACATGTAGAGAGAATGGAACAAAACAGAATGACTTCGAGTGTATAAATCTGTAGTGGAAGGAAGGCAGGGTAGGGGTCGACCTAGGAAGGGTTGGAGGGAGTGGGTAAAGGAGGTTTTGTGTGCGAGGGACTTGGACTTCCAGCAAGCATGCGTACCGTATTTGATAGGAGTGAATGGAGACAAATGGTTTTTAATACTTGACGTGCTGTTGGAGTGTGAGCAAAGTAACATTTATGAAGGGATTCAGGGAAACCGGCAGGCTGGACTTGAGTCCTGGAGATGGGAAGTACAGTGTCTGCACCCTGAAGGAGGGGTGTTAATGTTGCAGTTTTATAACTGTAGTGTAAAGCACCCTTCTGGCAAGACAGTGATGAGTGAATGATGATGAAAGTTTTTCTTTCTCGGGCCACCCTGCCTTGGTGGCCACCCTGCCTTGGTGGCCACCCTGCCTTGGTGGGAATCAGCCGATGTGTTAAAAAAAAAATCAATATTAACTGTACCTCACAATAATTAAGTCACTAACAAGCAAGATATAAGATAACAACATCAATATTAACTGTACCTCACAATAATTAAGTTACTAACAAGTAAGATATAACATAACATCAATATTAACTGTACCTCACAATAATTAAGTCACTAACAAGTCAGGTAGTGTTAAGAGGAGGCATTACAGAGGTGGTGAGAGTATTATTGATAAAAATGGTGGTACAATGGGGAACTTACCAGGTGGGTTGTATGTCAACACTGCCCCGGTTGAGTGAGCACCGGCGACAGCCGGGTGAGGAAGTACTTCAGGTAGCTGCGAGTGCACTGTACCAAGGCTTGGTTGCAAGTGGTTGTGCAGCTCGGCCAGGTTGTCAGGCGGTGCCTGCCTCGACCGGTGACTGTTGATGACGCTCAATGCTGCAGACTGGACAATTCGGTTGGATATTTTCACGTCTGCAAGAATTATTATTAATTAAAATTACTGTTATACGCGCTGGCAAGTTTTAAACCCATACAGGCAACTTAGTGCTCATTGGGCAGAAATCAGGTTTGATGCAAGGAAATGGGGAGGATAGTGCCTTCTTTGGCTCTGATGCCGTTCATGGGCATACACCCTTCACGGGCATCCAGGCATCACCTTACACACTTAACAGGTATCCAGGCATCACCATACATACTTAACAGGCATCCAGGCACTGTCATACACCATCCAGGCACTGTCATACACCATCCAGGCACTGTCATACACCATCCAGGCAGTCATACACCATCCAGGCACTGTCATACACCATCCAGGCATTGTCATACACCATCCAGGCACTGTCATACACCATCCAGGCACTGTCATACACCATTTATGGGAAATGATCAAGTATGTACCTTGCATCACTGGCACCGGGAAGTTATTAATATGTTAGGGCGGTGGCGCCACCTACCTGAGATGACACAGAACTCGTCGTCGCCACACTCCCAGGCGTCGTTCACCGACTCCTGGTAGTCCAGAAAACTGTCGCTCGCTTCAACCTTCTTGACGGCGCTCTCCTTGCGAGGACTCGACCTGTACGCCAAACCAACCCAACAATCTTAATAAATATCTACCTGTGAATACTTATTATCAATTACTATTATTATTATTATTATTGTGTGTTATTATTATTGTAATCAGGGGAATCATAAGAGAATGTAAGCAGTCCAAGACTGTTCAACCCACTAGGCTAGTCAAACTATTGCCAGCAGGCTAGTCAACCTACTACCAGGAGGCTAGCCAACCTACTGCCAGCAGGCTAGTCAACCTACTACCAGGAGGCTAGTCAACCTACTAACAGCAGGCTAGTCAACCTACTACCAGGAGGCTAGTCAACCTACTGCCAGCAGGCTAGTCAACCTACTACCAGGAGGCTAGTCAACCTACTGCCAGCAGGCTAGTCAACCTACTGCAAGCAGACTAGTCAACCTACTGCCAGCAGGTTAGTCAACCTACAACCAGCAGGATAGTCAACCTACTACCAGCAGGCTAGTCAACCTACTACCAGCAGGTTAGTCAACCTACAACCAGCAGGATAGTCAACCTACTACCAGCAGGCTAGTCAACCTACTACCAGCAGGCTAGTCAACCTACTACCAGCAGGCTAGTCAACCTACAACAGCAGATAGTCAACCTACAACCAGAGGATAGTCAACCTACTACCAGCAGGCTAGTCAACCTACTGCCAGAAGGCTAGTAAACCCTACTACCAGAAGGTAGTCAACACTACTACCAGCAGGCTAGTAACCTACAACAGCAGGATAGTAACCTACTACCAGTAGGCTAGTCAACCTACTACCACAGCTAAGTCAACCTAACCCCAGCAGGTTAGTCAACCTACAACCAGCAGGTTTAGTAACCTACTACAGCAGGACTAGTAAACCTTTACAAATGCAGGCTAGTCAAACCTACTACCTGAAGGAGTCATCTACTACCAGCAGGCTGGGTCAACCTACAAAACAGAAAGGATAGTCAACCTATTTACCAGCTGGCTAGTCAACTACTACCAGCAGCTAGTCAACCTACTACCAGCAGGTTAGGTCATCCCTAACTACCAGCAGGCTAGTCAAACCTACTACCAGAGTTGAGTAACCTACTCCCAGCAGGCTAGTCAACCTACTACCAGCAGGTTAGTCAACCTACTACCATCAGGTTATCAACTTACCAGCAGTTAGTCAACCTACAACAGCAGTTAGTCAACCACTACCAGCGGGTAGTCAAACCTACTACCAACTTAGTCAACCTACTACACAGCAGGCTAGAACCTACTACCAGCAGGTTAGTCAACCTACTACCCAGCAGGTTAGTCAACCTACTACCAGCAGGTTAGGCAAACCTTACTACAGCAGGCAGTCAACCTACTACCTGCAGGTAAAGTCAACCTACTACCAGCAGGCTAGTCAACACTCTACCAGCAGTTAGTCAACCTACTACCAGCAGCTAGTCAACCTACTCCAGCAGGTTAGTCAACCTACTCCGGGCAGGTTAGTCAACACTCCAGCAGGTTAGTCAACCTACTACCAGCAGGTTAGTCAACCTACTACCAGCAGGTTAGTCAACCTACTACCAGCAGGCTAGTCAACCTACAACCAGCAGGATAGTCAACTATACAGCAGGTTATGTCCCACTACCAGAGATTATCAACTTCTACCCAGCAGGTTAGTAAACCACTAACCAGAGGCTAGTCAACCTACTACCAGCAGGCTAGTCAAACCTACTACCAGCAGGCTAGTCAACATACTACCGAAGGATTAGTCAATACCTACTACAGCAGGTAGTCAACTATTTACAGCAGGATAGTAACCTACAACAGCAGGGTAGTGCAACCTACTACCAGCAGGCTAGTCAACCTACTACCAGCAGGCTAGTCAACCTACTACCAGCAGGCTAGTCAACCTACAACCAGCAGGATAGTCAACCTACTACCAGCAGGCTAGTCAACCTACTACCAGCAGGCTAGTCAACCTACAACCAGCAGGCTAGTCAACCTACTACCAGCAGGGTAGTCAACCTACTACCAGCAGGCTAGTCAACCTACTACCAGCAGGCTAGTCAACCTACAACCAGCAGGCTAGTCAACCTACTACCAGCAGGCTAGTCAACCTACTACCAGCAGGCTAGTCAACCTACTACCAGCAGGTTAGTCAACCTACAACCGCAGGCTAGTCAACCTACTACCAGCAGGGTAGTCAACCTACTACCAGCAGGCTAGTCAACCTACTACCAGCAGGCTAGTCAACCTACTACCAGCAGGCTAGTCAACCTACTACCAGCAGGCTAGTCAACCTACAACCAGCAGGGTAGTCAACCTACTACCAGCAGGGTAGTCAACCTACAACCAGCAGGGTAGTCAACCTACTAACCAGCAGGTAGTCAACCTACTACCAGCAGGCTAGTCAACCTACTATCAGCAGGTTAGTCAACCTACTACCAGCAGGCTAGTCAACCTACTACCAGCAGGCTAGTCAACCTACTACCAGCAGGTTAGTCAACCTACTACCAGCAGGCTAGTCAACCTACTACCAGCAGGTTAGTCAACCTACTACCAGCAGGTTAGTCAACCTACTACCAGCAGGCTAGTCAACCTACTACCAGCAGGTTAGTCAACCTACTACCAGCAGGCTAGTCAACCTACTACCAGCAGGCTAGTCAACCTACTACCAGCAGGCTAGTCAACCTACTACCAGCAGGGTAGTCAACCTACAACCAGCAGGCTAGTCAACCTACTACCAGCAGGCTAGTCAACCTACTACCAGCAGGCTAGTCAACCTACTACCAGCAGGCTAGTCAACCTACTACCAGCAGGGTAGTCAACCTACAACCAGCAGGGTAGTCAACCTGCGGAGTACCCAGTACTAGCCAGTACAAATACTCAGTACTAGCCACTAGAGAGATAACTAGGAGGAGTACTAGGTCTTACCTGGGAGAGCGAGTTATGGGAGGATGCATGGCACCATACACGGCTCGCATGCTGTAACATGAAACAAACATGTTACGATATTGTTCACTTGTTAAACAGTGGAAGTCTGACATGTACACTGTCACCATTACTGCCACTGTGTAGTGTTACTGGTACACTGTCACCATTACTGCCACTGTGTAGTGTTACTGGTACACTGTCACCACTACTGTCTACCACTGTGTAGTGTACTGGTAACTGTCACCATACTGTTACCACGGTGTATTGTTACTGGTACACTGTCACCACTACTGTCTACCACTGTGTAGTGTTACTGGTACACTGTCACCACTATTAACACTGTGTAGTGTTTATGGTACATGTCACCATTACTACCATGTGTGTATTACTGGTACACTGTTCACCATTTATACCACTGTGAAAGTGTGACTGTACACTGTCACCATCACTACCACTGTGTAGTATTACTGGTACACTGTCACCATTACTACCACTGTGTAGTGTTACTGGTACACTGTCACCATTACTACCACTGTGTAGTGTTACTGGTACACTGTCACCATTACTACCACTGTGTAGTGTTACTGGTACATTGTCATCATTACTACCACTGTGTAGTGTTACTGGTACACTGTCATCACTATTGTCTACCACTGTGCAGTGTTACTGGTACACTGTCACCACTACCACCACTGTGTAGTGTTACTGGTACACTGTCATCACTACTACCACTGTGTAGTGTTACTGGTACACTGTCACCATTACTACCACTGTGTAATGTTACTGGTACATTGTCACCACTACCACCACTGTGTAGTGTTACTGGTACACTGTCACCACTACCACCACTGTGTAGTGTTACTGGTACACTGTCACCACTACTACCACTGTGTAGTGTTACTGGTACATTGTCATCATTACTACCACTGTGTAGTGTTACTGGTACACTGTCACCACTACCACCACTGTGTAGTGTTACTGGTACATTGTCATCATTACTACCACTGTGTAGTGTTACTGGTACACTGTCATCACTATTGTCTACCACTGTGCAGTGTTACTGGTACACTGTCACCACTACCACCACTGTGTAGTGTTACTGGTACACTGTCATCACTACTACCACTGTGTAGTGTTACTGGTACACTGTCACCATTACTACCACTGTGTAGTGTTACTGGTACACTGTCACCATTACTACCACTGTGTAGTGTTACTGGTACACTGTCACCATTACTACCACTGTGTAGTGTTACTGGTACACTGTCACCATTACTGGCACTGTGTAGTGTTACTGGTACACTGTCACCACTACTGTCTACCACTGTGTAGTGTTACTGGTACACTGTCACCATTACTACCACTGTGTAGTGTTACTGGTACACTATCACCACTACTACCACTGTGTAGTGTTACTGGTACACTGTCACCATTACTGCCACTGTGTAGTGTTACTGGTACACTGTCACCACTACTGTCTACCACTGTGCAGTGTTACTGGTACACTGTCATCACTACTGTCTACCACTGTGTAGTGTTACTGGTACACTGTCATCACTACTGTCTACCACTGTGTAGTGTTACTGGTACACTGTCATCACTACTGTCTACCACTGTGTAGTATTACTGGAACACTGTCACTACTACTCTCAGTAGTAGTACCAGTTCCTAGTAACCAGTTACCAGTAACCAGTGTACCAGTAGATGACTCACTACCAACCGTCTCTGCGTGAATCACTGACTGTATTCATATTGCTGATGACCATAGCAGGATTTCAAACACCCCCTCACCCATAGGCACTGTGAGTCAGTCAAGATAGGGAGCAGAGAGAGGCAGGTCGGCTGTTGGTGCCTTCCCATACTTTCCGTTATATTATACGTACTACCAGCCTACGTGAGTATTCTTACCCCATCCACGTTATCGAAACCCACATGACAAATGGTGGCAGCAGTGGGATTGAACTCTTGGATAGTCAAGGTCCATCTGGCTAACCTTCCAGTAGGTTGTTTGTTCTGGAATAAAGGTATCAGTGGAGCATGGTCTGTCAAGACATGAACAGAGTACTGATAAATAATGTCTCGGAAGTGCTTTGAAGACCATACTATTGCTAAAGCTTCTTGCTCAGTTACTGTATAATTACGTGTAGTGTTACTGGTACACTGTCACCACTACTACCACTGTGTAGTGTTACTGGTACACTGTCACCACTACTACCACTATGTAGTGTTACTGGTACACTGTCACCACTACTACCACTGTGTAGTGTTACTGGTACACTGTCATCACTACTACAACTGTGTAGTGTTACTGGTACACTGTCACCACTACTGTCTACCACTGAGTAACGTGCTATCCAGTGTACAGTGAACACTGTAACTTCTGTAGTAGTTGCCGAAGTGCTGAATATCACTTAATTACAGTCATATACACTTATAAGGAACTTAGAAGTTACTTATACTACTGACCTAGTCTGCATAACGATGGTCAGTCGCTCAACCTTGAAGGTTTGAGGTGGTCAGTCCCTCAACCTTGAAGGACTGCGGTGGTCAGTCTCTCAACCTTGAAAGACTGAGGTGGTCAGTCCCTCAACCTTGAAGGTTTGAGGTGGTCAGTCCCTCAACCTTGAAGGACTGTGGTGGCCAGTCTCTCAACCTTGAAGGACTGAGGTGGTCAGTCCCTCAACCTTGAAGGACTGAGGTGGTCAGTCCCTCAACCTTGAAGGACTGAGGTGGTCAGTCCCTCAACCCTGAAGGACTGAGGTGGTCAGTCCCTCAACCTTGAAGGTTTGAGGTGGTCAGTCCCTTAACCTTGAAGGACTGAGGTGGTCAGTCCCTCAACCTTGAAGGACTGAGGTGGTCAGTCCCTCAACCTTGAAGGACTGAGGTGGTCAGTCCCTCAACCTTGAAGGACTGAGGTGGTCAGTCCCTCAACCTTGAAAGACTGAGGTGGTCAGTCCCTCAACCTTGAAGGACTGAGGTGGTCAGTCCCTCAACCTTGAAGGGCTGAGGTGGTCAGTCCCTCAACCTCGCTGTGTGGCGAAACGTTTCCTCAATAAAGATACCCAAGAGTTGCACATGTGTCTAATTTATCAACATGTCGGTTCTCTGAACCATTCATCTACAAACTCCTGGTTGTCTTCAAGACCCCTGGTTGTCTTCAAGACCCCTGGTTGTCTTCAAGACCCCTGGTTGTCTTCAAGACCCCTGGTTGTCTTCAAGACTCCTGGTTGTCTTCAAGACTCCTGGTTGTCTTCAAGACCCCTGGTTGTCTTCAAGACCCTGGTTGTCTTCAAGACCCTGGTTGTCTTCAAGACCTCTGGCTGTCTTCAAGACCCCTGGTTGTCTTCAAGACCCCTGGTTGTCTTCAAGACCCCTGGTTGTCTTCAAGACCCCTGGTTGTCTTCAAGACTCCTGGTTGTCTTCAAGACCCCTGGTTGTCTGCAAGCCCCTGGTTGTCTTCAGACCCCTGGTTGTCTTCAAGGACCCCTGGTTGTCTTCAAGACTCCTGGTTGTCTTCAAGACTCCTGGTTGTCTTCAGACTTCTGGTTGTCTTCAAAAACCCTGGTTGTCTTCAAGACCCTGGTTGTCTTCAAGACTCTGGTTGTCTTCAAGACCCTGGTTGTCTTCAAGACACCTGGTTGTCTTCAAGACTCCTGGTTGTCTCAAGACCCTTGGTTGTCTTCAAGACTCCTGGTTGTCTTCAAGACTCCTGGTTGTCTTCAAGACCCTGGTTGTCTTCAAGACCCCTGGTTGTCTTCAAGACTCCTGGTTGTCTTCAAGACCCCTGGTTGTCTTCAAGACTCCTGGTTGTCTTCAAGACTCCTGGTTGTCTTCAAGACTCCTGGTTGTGTTCAAGACTCCTGGTTGTCTTCAAGACTCCTGGTTGTCTTCAAGACTCCTGGTTGTCTTCAAGACTCCTGGTTGTCTTCAAGACCCCTGGTTGTCTTCAAGACCCTGGTTGTCTTCAAGACCCCTGGTTGTCTTCAAGACCCCTGGTTGTCTTCAAGACCCCCGACTGTCTTCAAGACTCCTGGTTGTCTTCAAGACCCTGGTTGTCTTCAAGACCCTGGTTGTCTTCAAGACCCCTGGTTGTCTTCAAGACTCCTGGTTGTCTTCAAGACTCCTGGTTGTCTTCAAGACTCCTGGTTGTCTTCAAGACTCCTGGTTGTCTTCAAGACTCCTGGTTGTCTTCAAGACTCCTGGTTGTCTTCAAGACTCCTGGTTGTCTTCAAGACTCCTGGTTGTCTTCAAGACTCCTGGTTGTCTTCAAGACCCCTGGTTGTCTTCAAGACTCCTGGTTGTCTTCAAGACCCCTGGTTGTCTTCAAGACTCCTGGTTGTCTTCAAGACCCTGGTTGTCTTCAAGACCCCTGGTTGTCTTCAAGACCACTGGTTTGTCTTCAAGACTCCTGGTTGTCTTCAAGACTCCTGGTTGTCTTCAAGACTCCTGGTTGTCTTCAAGACTCCTGGTTGTCTTCAAGACTCCTGGTAGTCTTCAAGACTCCTGGTTGTCTTCAAGACTCCTGGTTGTTTCAAGACTCCTGGTTGTCTTCAAGACCCCTGGTTTTTTCAAGACCCCTGGTTGTCTTCAAGACCCCCGATGTCTTCAAGACCCTGGTTGTCTTCAAGACCCCCGACTGTCTTCAAGACTCCTGGTTGTCTTCAAGACCCCTGGTTGTCTTCAAGACCCCTGGTTGTCTTCATGACCACTGGTTGTCTTCAAGACCCTGGTTGTCTTCAAGACCCCTGGTTGTCTTCAAGACTCCTGGTTGTCTTCAAGACTCCTGGTTGTCTTCAAGACTCCTGGTTGTCTTCAAGACCCCTGGTTGTCTTCAAGACTCCTGGTTGTCTTCAAGACCCCTGGTTGTCTTCAAGACTCCTGGTTGTCTTCAAGACCCCTGGTTGTCTTCAAGACCCCTGGTTGTCTTCAAGACTCCTGGATGTCTTCAAGACTCCTGGTTGTCTTCAAGACCCCCGAATGTCTTCAAGACTCCTGGTTGTCTTCAAGACCCCTGGTTGTCTTCAAGACCCCTGGTTGTCTTCAAGACCCCTGGTTGTCTTCAAGACTCCTGGTTGTCTTCAAGACTCCTGGTTGTCTTCAAGACTCCTGGTTGTCTTCAAGACTCCTGGTTGTCTTCAAGACTCCTGGTTGTCTTCAAGACTCCTGGTTGTCTTCAAGACTCCTGGTTGTCTTCAAGACTCCTGGTTGTCTTCAAGACCCCTGGTTGTCTTCAAGACTCCTGTTGTCTTCAAGACTCCTGGTTGTCTTCAAGACCCCTGGTTGTCTTCAAGACTCCTGGTTGTCTTCAAGACCCCTGGTTGTCTTCAAGACCCCTGGTTGTCTTCAAGACTCCTGGTTGTCTTCAAGACCCCTGGTTGTCTTCAAGACTCCTGGTTGTCTTCAAGACCCCTGGTTGTCTTCAAGACTCCTGGTTGTCTTCAAGACTCCTGGTTGTCTTCAAGACTCCTGGTTGTCTTCAAGACCCCTGGTTGTCTTCAAGACCCTGGTTGTCTTCAAGACCCCTGGTTGTCTTCAAGACTCCTGGTTGTCTTCAAGACCCCTGGTTGTCTTCAAGACTCCTGGTTGTCTTCAAGACCCTGGTTGTCTTCAAGACTCCTGGTTGTCTTCAAGACCCCTGGTTGTCTTCAAGACCCTGGTTGTCTTCAAGACTCCTGGTTGTCTTCAAGACCCCTGGTTGTCTTCAAGACTCCTGGTTGTCTTCAAGACCCCTGGTTGTCTTCAAGACGCTTTACTGTCAAGATCAATTACAACAGTAATAGTAATACCAAAATAACAACAGTAGTAACAGCAACAGTATCAAACCAATAATGACAACAGTAGTAATAAAAGCATTAACAGTAATGACAACAGTAATAACCAAAATAACAGTAATAATGGAAGTAATGGTAACACTAATAGCAATAACAGCAAATAAAAATATTAACAGAAACAGCAACAGAAATAAGAGAAACAACAGTAACAACCACTCACAACAGAAAACAACAGAAATAAGAGAAACAACAGAACAGCAACAGAAACACCCACAACAAAAATAACAGTAATAACAGCAAAAGTAATAACAGTAACAGTAATAACAGAATAGAAATAAGTCACAGAAATAACAGTAATATTAGCAACAGAAATAACAAACAACAGTAATAACAGTAATGTAATTATCAAAAGAAATCAAAGAAATTGAAGCAACAAAAATACCAGCAACAGAAAAAACAGGAGACTAACAGGATGTCGATCACCCTCCTCCTCTCTTGCATCCTCCCTTCCCTTGGATCAAGACCCCTCCACCAGCACCATAACCCACCTCTCTTCCACACCCACATCAACAGAAACAACGGTAAAAACAACAGTAGACAAACAGGAAGTGTTAATGTCCTCCCGACCCTCCATCACATCTCCCTCCTCACTCCCCTCCCTTGGATCAAGAACCGTCCACTAGCACCAAAACCCACCTCTCCTCCACACCCACATCAACAGAAACAACGGTACAGACAACAACAGTAGACAAACAGGAAGTGTTGGTTGTCCTCCTGACCCTCCATCACATCTCCTTCCCTCCATCTACCTTCCTTCCCTCCATCTACCTTCCAGGGACGGACTTGCTGTTCTTCCTCCAGAAGTTCTTGCCATTGTGAGGGTCAACGGAAGTCATGTTAGGCCACAAATAACGGTAAAACAGCAGCAACAGGAGCCACTGTTTACATGGCTGCCATGTTGTCACTCTCACCTTCATAAATGAAATAAATTTAACCTCCAGTACTTTATTTATCTCCCATTACTTTATTTACATTTTATTACAACGCCAAATTCTATTACTTTCATTGCAAAAATTACTTTTAGGCCTAAATGGCTAAGGCAATTAGCGTTCAAAACTAAGTAAAAAAAATATAATTATTTCAATAAATATATTTTTTATTATTTAATAAAATTAAATATTTTTCTGTTCTTACTTGCCTCTAATAATTACATTTAAATTTTATTATGGCGTCAAACTTAACTAATATAATATAAAACTAGTTTAGATTACGATAAGAGCGTTCAAAAATGCACAAAATTATAATTAATCTCTCATTATAAAATTATATACTATTTATTATATATGTCGCGGAAAATAAATTAAACTTGAGATTTTAGCTTAAATAGTAATGCTCTTCTTGTCGAATAAGACAAGTGAAAATTTGTGTACCTGGAGTTTACCTGGAGAGAGTTCCGGGGGTCAACGCCCCCGCGGCCCGGTCTGTGACCAGGCCTCCTGGTGGATCAGAGCCTGATCAACCAGGCTGTTGCTGCTGGCTGCACGCAAACCAACGTACGAGCCACAGCCCGGCTGATCAGGAACTGACTTTAGGTGCTTGTCCAGTGCCAGCTTGAAGACTGCCAGGGGTCTGTTGGTAATCCCCCTTATGTGTGCTGGGAGGCAGTTGAACAGTCTCGGGCCCCTGACACTTATTGTATGGTCTCTTAACGTGCTAGTGACACCCCTGCTTTTCATTGGGGGATGGTGCATCGTCTGCCAAGTCTTTTGCTTTCGTAGTGAGTGATTTTCGTGTGCAAGTTCGGTACTAGTCCCTCTAGGATTTTCCAGGTGTATATAATCATGTATCTCTCCCTCCTGCGTTCCAGGGAATACAGGTTTAGGAACCTCAAGCGCTCCCAATAATTGAGGTGTTTTATCTCCGTTATGCGCGCCGTGAAAGTTCTCTGTACATTTTCTAGGTCGGCAATTTCACCTGCCTTGAAAGGTGCTGTTAGTGTGCAGCAATATTCCAGCCTAGATAGAACAAGTGACCTGAAGAGTGTCATCATGGGCTTGGCCTCCCTAGTTTTGAAGGTTCTCATTATCCATCCTGTCATTTTTCTAGCAGATGCGATTGATACAGTGCTATGGTCCTTGAAGGTGAAATCCTCGACATGATCACTCCAGGTCTTTGACGTTGGTGTTTCGCTCTATTTTGTGGCCAGAATTTGTTTTGTACTCTGATGAAGATTTAATTTCCTCATGTTTACCATATCTGAGTAATTGAAATTTCTCATCGTTGAACTTCATATTGTTTTCTGCAGCCCACTGAAAGATTTAGTTGATGTCCGCCTGGAGCTTTGCAGTGTCTGCAATGGAAGACACTGTCATGCAGATTCGGGTGTCATCTGCAAAGGAAGACACAGTGCTGTGGCTGACATCCTTGTCTATGTCGGATATGAGGATGAGGAACAAGATGGGAGCGAGTACTGTGCCTTGTGGAACAGAGCTTTTCACTGTAGCTGCCTCGGACTTTACTCTGTTGACGACTACTCTCTGTGTTCTGTTAGTGAGGAAATTATAGATCCATCGACCGACTTTTCCTGTTATTCCTTAGCACGCATTTTGTGCGCTATTACGCCATGGTCACACTTGTCGAAAGCTTTTGCAAAGTCTGTATATATTACATCTGCATTCTTTTTGTCTTCTAGTGCATTTAGGACCTTGTCGTAGTGATCCAATAGTTAAGACAGACAGGAGCGACCTGTTCTAAACCCATGTTGCCCTGGGTTGTGTAACTGATGGGTTTCTAGATGGGTGGTGATCTTGCTTCTTAGGACCCTTTCAAAGATTTTTATATGGGATGTTAGTGCTATTGGTCTGTAGTTCTTTGCTGTTGCTTTACTGCCCCCTTTGTGGAGTGGGGCTATGTCTGTTGTTTTTAGTAACTGTGGGACGACCCCAGTGTCCATGCTCCCTCTCCATAGGATGGAAAAGGCTCGTGATAGGGGCTTCTTGCAGTTCTTGATGAACACAGAGTTCCATGAGTCTGGCCCTGGGGCAGAGTGCATGGGCATGTCATTTTATCGCCTGTTCGAAGTCATTTGGCGTCAGGATAACATCGGATAGGCTTGTGTTTAATAAATTTTGTGGCTCTCTCATAAAAAATTCATTTGATCTTCGACTCTCAGTCTGGGTTAGCGGCTTGCTAAAAACTGAGTCATATTGGGACTTGAGTAGCTCATCATTTCCTTGCTGTCATCTGTGTAGGACCCATCTTGTTTAAGTAGGGGCCCAATACTGGGACGTTGTTCTCGATTTTGATTTGGCATAGGAGAAGAAATACTTTGGTTTCTTTCGATTTCATTTATGGCTTTTAGTTTTTCCCGCGATTCCTGACTCCTAAAGATTCTTTAGCTTAAGTTCGATGCTTGCTATTTCTCTGACCAGTGTCTCCCTACGCATTTCAGATATATTGACCTCTTTTAGCCGCTCTGTTATTCTTTTCCGTCGCCTGTAAAGGGAGCGCCTGTCTCTTTCTATTTTACATCTACCCCTCCTTTTTCTTAGAGGAATAAGCCTTGTGCATACATCGAGTGCCACCAAGTTAATCTGTTCTAGGCATAAGTTGGGTCTGTGTTGCTTAGTATATCTTCCCAGCTTATATCGGTTAGGACTTGGTTTACTTGGTCCCACTTTATGTTTTTGTTATTGAAGTTGAATTTGGTGAATGCTCCCTCGTGACTAATCTCATTATGTCGGTCTGGGGCTCCGCGCATACATGTAATAACTTCGAAAAACTCATTCTGAACCTAACGAAAAAAATATATATTTCGTTGTGTTTGTTTATTAAATTATTGTAAACTTATATAATATATATTAAGTTGGATTAGCCTAAATTAAATTCTGTTTGTTATTATAAGGTCAGGTAAGTTTCCTAAGTTGCTTTTGGAGCAAAATTATTAATTTTGCATTAACATAATATAATATATATCTATATATATAATATTATAATATATATATATATATATATATATATTACTATATTATTATATATATATATATATATTATATATATATATATATATATATATATGTATGTATATATATATATATATATATATATATATATATATATATATATATATATATATATATATAATATATATATATATATATATATATATATGGAAACCATTGCAGATGGGCGATCTTAACTATGCAGGACAAGTCACGGGGGGTGGAAATCTTTAGCTCAAGTACTTTCAAACTTCTCAGTGCATCAGCTGTGCAATGTTGCAAGGAAGCAACCAAAGCAAGGAGAGAGGTCTCAGAGTAGCGTAGGTGTCACCGTCCACAGTTACCCTTAGACTGGGTTAGTGGTTGGTGCCAACCCCACCCTACCATCATCCTCCCACTACCCATATGGGGTAGGAGGGTTTCTGAGATGTCAAGTAGGAAATTATAAAATATAAAAAGCCAGCCCCAAGCTTTTTCTAATCGTTTATAACAGGTCATGTGGTTTGAGAAAATAAGTTTCTCGTTAGATACTGTAGACATGGATAGTTATTATTCTGTGTGACCTATTCAAATAATGAAAGAAAGGAATACAATGTGATCTTTGTCCGTTTAAATGTCCTGCTCTGGGGTACTTGAATGTTCTACCCATGTACTCAGAAGTATCTCTTCCTACATATTGTCTACTGTTTTCTCAGTGGCTGTTAATATGTTATACATGGGGACTTCTATGCCTATCCAATAATATTTCTGTAATATAAATTCTACTAATACCCTTTAACCTTTCCTAACGTTATCTTGTGTGATTGTCACTGTATGATACATGAACAGCTACAGGTGTTATATAACCAGCAAAACTGACGTGGTGTGAAGGTTTGGTACGTAGAAACTGGTCGGGCATCACCAATCCATCAACCCACCTGGCATAATGAACAATCCTGTGATTTTGTATAGCAATGTTGTTTAAGATTGTGTACAATGGACTCTACTAAATAACTATCGAGCTTGTATAACCCATAATTTGAGTTATATACTGTATGTCGGAACTTATTCGGTCCTAGAAGTCCCAACAGGGAAAAACACACCGTTGGGTGGCCCTTACACCCACCCAAAACACACACACACACACACACACACACCCAGGTTGGCGAAGGTGGTTGGAAGGTACTTCTTAAATGATAGATTTACCCTTCAGGGAAGAAGTAGATAGTTTATACTGTTAGTACACTAATATTAGGATTATTGAGGCAACTGTAGATAATAATAATGTAGACCTAAGACCTTAACATATGTAGTAATAGGCCAATAATGTAGGCAAACACTAGGTTATGTTAGCCAGTGAGAACTGTCAGCCCAAGTTTGAATGCTGGGCACAGGGGTTTGAGACCACAGTGCCCTTCTCTAAGACTAGACACCATCTGAACGACAAATGCCGTGATCACAGGCGGCGCCCCCCCTGTCTTAATACTAGACCTGGGAAATCTGGTGGAGGCACCTTGACAACCGTAGATTCCCCCCTCCGTCAACCCATACATAAGACAAAAACTCCATTTTTCATAGGATCCTGGCCATGTTTTGGGGGAAATTGCCAAGTGATCGTGCTGTGGTTTTTGTGGTCGCCGCAGTTTATGACCCTACATACCGGGACCTGTCACCTAGAAGCTAGTGGTTACTCTTTCAAGTAGTCTAGGGGATTCACACCCCCCGGAAATAGAAATTTTTGAGGTGCAGCAGGCCCCTAATATCGACTGAATATTGAGGGAAATTTAAGGGGCCCGGGTTTCACTGGTTCTAGGGTAAGTCCACAGGGATAAAGCTTTAAAGGGGTTGAAATGGGGCAAATTGTCCAACATTAAGTAATTATCCTTTTTACTGCATGCAGGAGAATTTCTTGCAACATCAGTTTTT